ACCATACTATACAAAAATTATCCTACAATAACTGCAGGCAAATATTGTGCTATTTTGCACTATAGAGTATTTCTTCTGCAATTGCTAAACGCCTAAATTTTAAAAATATAAATTAACACAATTAAATTTAACGCAACGTTTCATAAAAAGCTTTATAATGCTGACTAGAAGATTACCTTGTCTTCACAGAACGAGATGTATTTAATGCAGTAAACTGAGTGTGAAATGCTTCTGAAAAAAAGAAATAAGTTTATTTAAAGATACTTTTTTAAAAATAGAACACTTGTGACTGAAATCATTTTATTTAATTTTGGAATAATAAGTATTATTTATTAGTTATACCTTTACTCAATGAATAAAATGTTTAAAAATAAAAGAGTCCTTTTCAAGGCAAAATTACTTCAAACACAACACACAATATGAATATCAATAGCACTGCATATTAACCCTCCAAGCATTATAGGTTAGTTCCTCAAAGTGTCATAAATAAATGGTACTTTCCTGATTATAATTTTAAAATGCTTTCACTTTGTACCTTGATTCCTTTTCTTCCAAAATACATCCAACCCGAAATCAGATATATAAAAGCTGGCAGAAATTTTCATGTATAATGAATACTAAAGGCACCCTTCCATAAGGAATTTTCCATTCATAATGCTGAGAAGGTTAAAGATAATGTATATTTAATTACGAGTATAATTTATTATAATACATAAATATTGTTATATGAGGTGGTATTAAAACTTCTTATACTACTTCTATAATACATCAACAGACAGCATCATGCAGGGAGATAGTCAATAACTATTGCCAGGTTTTTACACAGGTGAAAGACAGCATTCGGTGAAAGTGATCACAGCTGTCACAAAAATTGGCTGTGTAACATATTTCTCTCCTCACTAGTGAGTTCAGGAAGACACAATGCAAACTCAAAAGACACAATTTGATATTTTGCACATACTGCTCATTAGAGTTAAGCTTCCACAGATTTCAACCTCTTCCTATGATTGAAAATCAGCCTAGACAGCATCATTTTGACATCAGTGTGGAAATCCGTTGCAAATCACAGAAAATACTTGCTAGGACTTTCAAGACATATTCCATAAGTGGCAAGAATCCAAGGGACCAACTTCGAAGTTGACAATGCATACACAGAATACACAGGATAAATAAAGTACATTAAAAGCTTGATTACCCACAAAATTCAGGAAATGCCAAATGCCAGATACAGCAAAATTCCTGATAGATAAGCTTATGAATATTGTAAGTCAGATTTTTTTTTAAAAAAAGCTAATTAATGAAAGACAAAAATTTCACTCTAATTTTTTTAAGTTATGTTTTTATCAAAAAATACATTTAAAAATATGCAAGATTAAAATAAACTGCAATTCAAATATAAAGTTGATATAGTATTGTAGGCCTTAACTATATTAAAATAACAAAACCAGAGGTTTCAAATTTGAATTGCACGTTGTCAAATCCATGATCTGAAAAAGCTGACACACAAGTACTCTTTTTAAAGAGAAATTAAATTTTTTTAACAAAATAAAGAATATTTTAATAAGTTTTAAATTTGGCTTGCTAAATATTTATCAAATAAACAACAATAATAATACTGCAAAGAAGAAAATACAAATTTACTTTCTATTTGAAATATGAAGTTTGGTACCTGAGAGACATTTTTGTTGGTTACACTTTGTTCAAATACACTAGTTTCCAAAAATTATGAGAAAATTTAAAAAAAAAAAAAAAAAAAAAAAAAGAGATGTCTTGTTTAAAAATAAGCCAATCAATATAAGATTTGAATGTATTGTAAAATAAGAATTGCTGAGTAAAACTGCAGTACGCAAATTAGTGGTGCTGGAATCGAAATATATAATCTGCGAAGAGCATAAAATTGCATGTTTCAGAGCAAGCCTGCTTGCAAATTTCACCGATACTCAGATAAGAAATCTCGGTCAGCCAATCTATAACAATGCCCTCAAGGCATCATTTGCCCGAAGAACTGTAATGCAGAGCTATTGAGAAACTAGAGGCAGGACAAAGTTAGACAGAAGTGCCCAGATGGTTGTTTTCAGAGAATATTTATTTACCAAAAGGGACAAAACTTGAAAATAAATAACAACCTAGACTCTCTCTAATGTTTTATATTTTTCTTCAACAGATAACCAAAAATGTATATGCTAGTATGTAATTCATTATAAACTTCCTTATTTCTGACTACAACTTGACATTTGATGGCATCTCAATTTTGATAAAGTTTGCAGCCTTGAAGAAAAATTATTAGGACTTATCTTTATCACAGACTGTAGAGGTTCATTCATTAATCAGGTTCTTTTCTCACAAATTTTGTGTAGAAAAAGGCTATTTGCATATAAATGTGCTCAGATACAAAATGACTATTATTGATGTAAAAATTCGTAACAGAGCTTATTTATTTTTTACAAGTACTAATAAAAGTTAATAAAATTGGCATCTTCAAACAAAATTTGTATCACATTGTAAACTAATTAGCTTCATTAACAGATTTTTTTGTATTTGAAAATAATCCACTACATACTATTTTACAGAAGAAAGGTCTAAAACTTTGAATCATTTTTTTCAAAAGTGATGAGAAAATAGATAAATTGCAGCAAACTCATATCCTTCTTTACAAAAATTAAACCTCAAGCTTTTTGAGAACTAATCAGGATTACATCAGCCTGGCAAATATATTCTAATTGTGTGTGATGTCACCCTTATCCATTATCTGAACCAAATTAAATTATCTGGCGACAGTGTTGGTTTGCCAAAATTCATTTGAGAAAAAACCTCTTTGACATTTATTTAAAGTGTTCAGTTCTAACGATGGACTCTTAAGATAATATAATAAAATACAATGGTCGAAGCTATACATTATATATACTATCTTCTAATAGTATATATAATCCGTAAACAGAATTTGTATAAATGAATCCTACATGAATGCTCTATAATTTGTATAAATGTTCACTGAAGGAACTAAGGCAAAAAGAAACAGCATAATATTCATAAATTTGGAGGACTAGTTTTGAAAATTTAAATGTAGAACCCTCATTTTTTGTTGCAAAACAGCAAATAACAAAAGAGAAGCTTGTGCTTAGATGATAATGAGAGGAAGGAAGTCAAGCTACTTACTAGTGCCATCTATTGATGAAAAATGGAAAAAAAAAAATGAAATAATTTCCTTAAAAGCTAAGGGTAAAGAAGGATTGGAATCAGTATCATTAACTAGAACAGAAAGATTATTATGAATGTTAAACACTTCAGGCTCTCTTAGTTTGACCAATGTAAATTAACCACTACGGTGCAATCCGGTATACACCACAGGAGTTCATATCTGAAATGGGCTCTTTCAATATTGATCTGCAAATTTTATTGACAGAAGAGTCTTGCTGCCTTAGCATCTCCAATAACCATTATTTGCCGTGTTATTTTAATTCAGATGTGTAAATATATTCACATTTTAGATGCTATATGGAATTCCAAGTCGTGGTTCTATACCTGCAGTAAGATGCCTTTACAAGTCTCCCACTAGTAAAATTTTTCACTTAAAAAAAAAAAAAAAAAAAAAAAAAAAAAAAGAGTTTTTTTTTTTTTTTTTTTTTTTTAAACCTGAAAGCCTTTTTTATATTATGTCCAAAGGGGTATTTTTTAAAATTTTTGTGTGTTAATTTTATTTACTAAATATCATGTTCTTTGCACTTACACCATAAAATTCAATTTAACAGCAATATCACAAAAGAGAATTTCCGATACATGGTCTCACACACTGCAGATAATTTTTTTTTTTTTTTTTTTTTTTTTCCCCATACAGTGTTACAATTGCTCACTTTGAAATTGTTGAGTTTCTCAATCAAAAACTCATAAATGCATTACAAAATATGAAATAGATAATAAAACAATTTCCAAATTTAGGCTTCCAGATGCCCATATTCGAGTGAAGACGCAAGTTATTCAAAATTTGATGGCTTTCGTTACCATAGCTTTATCCCAATGCTAGAAACTACATACATTTATGCAGATTCTTCGTTATTTAATTTCTTTAAATATAATACAGGGCTGCAGTATTTGGTGGCAGCAATTTAAAAAGTGATTCGCCGTTTATAGTGAATCAACGAAAAATCCCAAAATGAAATTAATAGCCCTTTTGATCAAACTGCTGCTTTGGGCTAAAAAAAATCTAAACTTTTCGGGAGTTGGACTTTTACTGTGGTTTCTTATCAACAGAAATTGTCTTGAAACTTTTTTATATACTATCATACCTAAATTTCTCATGTGATTACACAGTTCTCTTATATTTACATTATTTAAGGCAACTATGCATTGCAAGTTTATTGACTAAAACGACTTTGTTCAAATTCAATTCACCAAAAATTTTAAAAATTATTCAAAGTCAATCCACCAAAATTTTAAAAATTTATGTATTTTCAATACAAATTAAATAATCACTAAATTAAATTTAATGCAAACTAAGTAATAAAAGCTAAATGTATAATAAACTAATTGTGCATAAAATCTCCTACTGGAAAAATTTTTCCTTTAAAAAAAATTCTGAAATATTCCAGTTACTTAAATACTCAATAGTTGGGCTTTTATTGTAGTTTCTCATCAATAGAGCTAATCTTGAAACTTTTTGATAGCCCATCATATATAAGTTTTTATATGATTCTTCAATTCTCTTATATTTACACTTTTTAAGGTAATTATGCATATTTCTTCACTTTATTCTCTTATATTCTCTATGATTGTCTATGATACTTCAATTCTCTTATATTTATACTTTCTAAGGCAATTATGCACATTTATTCACTCTAATATTATTACATTATATACACATTAATATTATTTTGCTCAAATTCAATCAATCAAAAATCTAAACTTTATGTATTTTCAATATAAAGTTAGTAATCACTAAGTTAATTTTTATGCAAACTAATAAAAATAAGAATCCTTTAACTTATTAAAATAAATCAAGAGACCTTGTTTATTGACAGCATTTTCCCGTTCAGCTTCTTTTTCGGCAGCAACACGAGCTTGATCTTTGGCTTTCTTAACTTTTTCATAATTTCTTAAAAGGAAACAATGATGCTTCTGGACATAGCATCTCTGTTGATGAGACATTGGCTTCATTTGAATTGTAAATGATTGTCTATTGTAAGGGAGGTATTCATTCTTTATGTGCTGTAAAATAAAAGGGAAACAAAACATATTTAATACCAAACTGAAATTCTTAAATTACATAAATTTAGTTTCAAAATATATAATTCCTATAAATTTAAATACACATCAACATATTTCAAAGATTAAAACATTATACATAGCTGCAACATAATAAAATTAAGAGAGACAAAAATAAATTCACTGCATGTGTACACAAATAAGTATAATTGTAACATTACACAACACCCATACTGATTTTACAATGCAATAACTTATGACAAACTAATTAAAGTAAAATTTAATTACAGTAATTACAATCAAAATATTTCTTATCAGCATAAGCCTCTATACCTTAATAAGCTTTTAATCACTAGCTGGACATGATATCAGAGTTAATGTGGCTGGTTTTTAGTTTTATTGCAAAACAATAAAGTAATATACAATCAATATTGTATGTACGTCTGCAAATCTCATGACACTTTTTTTAACTGCTTTTTCCCTTATGCTAAGCATGTAAAAAGCAGTCCTTACATATTAGTGCAACCACCTTGGCGCAGTACAGCAGTTTATTACAGAAGAAAAAGCTGATTCAGTGAATTTTTGGATTGCAATTTACGAGGGTTGGAACTTTAATAGTGACAACACAGCTGAAAAACGGCATTCAACAAAACCAAAGAATATCACATATACCACACGTGAACTACATACCTACCTTACCTCTCAGCAGAAAGACTCGTGCCCTCCTGCCTACGTCACGCGCATGCGGAGTGACGCGAAGAATGAATCGTTGTATTAGCTCGCGGTCTAAAATAAGTGTTGTCAGGATGTTTTCAAAACAAGAACAACGATGTTGGATAAAAATTGAATGTGCCAGAGGCCGTACAGCACGACAGTGTCATCAAGGGCTTCAAGAGGCTTGCGGGGAATCTGCATTGCCTTACAGAACCGTAGCAAGATGGGTCTCCAACCAGCTTTGAAAAAAAAAAAACGGCAACACTTTCTGCAGAACGCTCTTCTCATTTTGCATGACAATGCTCGGCCGCATGCATCGCAAGCTGTGACCGATTTGTTCAAGCGATGGGGCTGGGAAGTGCTTTACCATCCACCACACTCCCCAGATCTAAGCCCTTGTGACTATGACTTAATTCCTAAGATGAAGGAACCACTTCATGGCACTCGCTTCCAAACTGTTCCTGAGATTCTTGCGGCAGTAGACTGGTCCATTCAAACTATCAACAGGTGCTGCTACAGGTATTCTGCGACTTCCACATCGTTGGAAACGGGTTGTACACAATGCTGGTGACTAGATTGAAGGACTGTAAAACATGGTGACATGAATCACTTTTGTATTCCTTGTAAATAAATAGTTGCCACTATTAAAGTTCCAACCCTCGTACAATGGTATGCTTACCTAAAGAACCATTAGGCTCACAGTAGCAGAGCTTGCAATTTCTGAAAATTTGGCGGCTTCTATTAAGGTGGTTATGATAATATCCAAGTACCCAAAATACTATACAGTCTAAATATTTTTTCATTAGAAATGCAGGGTTTGGTAGGCATAGGAACTATAAAATTTCTATCAGTTGTACTATCAGATAATCTTTAAATTCTATAAGTAGTACTGTTTTACTGAAAAAGTATCGTGACCAAAAATAATAATATATTATTCAGTCAAGAAACATTGCTCTAAAAATACTTACTACAACTCTTAAATTATAAAAAGACTTAAAGCACAGATATATTTCAATTAAGAATAAGTTGAAAAAAGGATAAAAAACGAATTGAAAATACACTTACTTTTTAAAATACAAGATTGCATAACTTCTAAAAGTTATTATTAGTGTTAATTGATGGGTACTGCATTAAAGCCATAAAAATTTGTTTTGAATTTGAGTGCACTCATTCTGCACACTGAATGAAATTACCATGGCCCAGATTATGGTTACCTAAAATATTCACTGGAAATGCTCTTAAAAATATTGGAAAATGCAATTAAAACAGAAAATGTGCCTTTATTTATTTTTTTATAAAGTCCTCCAAAAATAAAAAAATAATTATATAAAAAATAACAAAATTGATCAGCATTGACAAATGGATTGAAACCCAAAACAAAGACACGTTATTTGTCACTTGAATTTTAATTTTTCGTCCAAATTTTCAACCTTGCACAAATGCATTACAATCGCACTGAATTATTAAGTGCCTCTTGATGTTTTCAAAAGTGTGATTTCTTCTATTGTCAGTATATAATTTTTATATTGTGAGAAGTTTCTCTTCACATCTATTATAGCTAGTAGAACATACTTCAAAAATGTGCATCACTTAGTACTAATATTTCAATTTTAAAAGACCCTTCTTCTCCTGTCAAGATGATGGAAATTTTGCCAGTTTTTAGTCAAAACAAATTTAGCAAATGTTCTATTTGAAACTTTGCCTTTGGCCGTCTTTGAAACGCTCCATAATTTATGAATGTAATTTATTCCATTGACAAGTTACATATTTTGCTCTTGTAACAATTTAAAAGTTGAAATTAGGTCTGATGTACACAAGATTTCCTTCAACTTTATCTGTGGAGAAAACATTATGTGCAATTACATTTTCCTCTCTGCATATAATCCTAAGAAATATCATGTAGAAAAATTCTTAAATGTAACACTCACAACTTGTGGGAAAGCCTGTCATGACTTATAAATGCAGTGATAATGAATGTGGTATGCATACCATTGATCATAAGCACATTTTTTTAATAATTGCACTTGTATTTTGTAAAATACACTCATATTTTACAAGAACTGGTTGTTGAGGAAGAAAGCAAAATTGGTACCGAAGGAATTACAGTTTAGTGAAGGGAATTAATTCAGTTGTTGACAACAATCATTTTTTTCTTTCTTTAATTATTCAATACTCATTTTTCCAAATACATACTAAATTACCTTGTAAGGACTTAAATAAGCATCACCTGAATACAGATGATGCAGCCTGATTAGAATTTTGCCGTCACCAGAATACGAGTGACACAGACTAAACAATTTTTTTGCCACCACACGATTACGGGTGTTGAGGCAGTCAATGGGTTAAAATCATAATATATCTTTTCATTGTTTTTAAATAACTATTTTAGGTCAGTGGTATGATACATATTCATATATAAATAAAACAAAATGTAATTATAACCTTAGAAAAAATAACCAAGCAACATATACCTCTTTTTGAATTTCAACTGGCTTATCGTCTTTCCTCTTTTTGGGACGACCAGGACCCTTTTTCGAATCTGCAATAGCTTTCATCTGCTTCGTCTGCCTAACCTTTTCTTTAGTCTGGCCATTAAGCCTTTGAGATCTGCCTCCTATGAAGCCTCTACATTTTGAACTCCCACATCTACAAACTTGCTAAAAATAAGAATTTATATATATAACAAATGTTACACTCTAAGGAAGATTAAATATTTCCCTGCTTTCAAAATTTAAATTTGTACAAAAATTTAACAGATTTTTCAAATTAAAAACATAAAACACCAATTGTTGTTCTGCAAGAATTCAAACAACAGATCTCCCAGGCTGCTTATTCAGTGCACAGTATTTAGATAATGAGCACATCCAGCATAACAGAATAATTCTTTATATTTTTCTTCAGTTAATGTTTCTTTTCCTCTTTTAATTTTTGTTAAAATTATTTTTGAGAACTACTGAATAAATTATTTTTCAATTATTGTCCAGTGAATGAAGAAAGATACAAAAGTCAATAGCACTCTAACAGAGTCCTCATTTAAACTCATGATTAATATTTTTAATTTAACAATTTTTAATTAACATGTTTTATAATACTTTTCTGGAATGCTTCCACATGCCTGATCAGTCAGTGACGAATTTCCTTACAGAATGGTAAAAATTCAGTTTAAATGTAATATTCAGGATTCTTTGTTATTTCATAGATTAAGTATCTTGCAGTGAATCATTTAATGCAACACAATATGGCATTGTATTATTACTGTATTCCCTCCTAGCTCTTTAGTTACAAGTTTTAAAAATTGTTTAAATATTTGTATAATTTTTCCCTTCTTCAATGTGTTTGGAAAACAAGTTCCCGTAAATTTTAAAATGGGTTTGTTTATGAAGTGATTATTTGCATCTTACTAACAAAGACAAAACCTCATAAACTATGTCAAAAGGTCAAGTTGAAACTTTCCCTTTAACTCCTGAACTTTATATGCCAGTCTAATATAAAAATTGATCCATCATGGTGAAGCAAATACAACCTGAAATTCAGTCAATGAAGAAGACATGAAGGTACTTTATTAAACACTGTACTGTTAGTACTGCTATGTATTTTTATTAGAATGTCAATTTTTTTCATAAAAAATAATACTGTGATAGTTCAATGTCATTTAGCCATGACTGCTTTTTATTTGCACGTTCTTACTGTAACCACGTCCTTAAAAAATTAAATTACTTGCATAATTTTCCCCTCTTAATTTGCAGACAATGAGAATACCATATATTACAGAATATAATCTGATCCATGTATAAAGATGCACTTTTTCTTTAATAATTTACTCAAAATTCAAAGCTCGTAAATAAGTTGAAATGGATGGGGAAGAAGAAGGAAAAATTTCTGTAATATTCAGACATGCTGCCAAGTAAGTAAAATGGCTCAAATATTTTCCAATCAAATTGTTGCAAAGTAAGGCATCAATGGCAACAATAGTTTTAACTCAGATAGCTCTATATGAAGTTACAACATTTTTTCCATTCATTCTATATTGCATACAATATGTGGTATCTGTGTTAGTGTTATTTTCATTTTGGCAACGATGAAACAAACCAGCAATATAAAGAAATTTCAAAAATAAGACAACTCATTTTCATAAAATAATAACTCATTTAAAATTAATTTTTCATAAACATAAGCACTACATACTACAGAATAAGTGCTATATTTGGTAATTCATCTTGTGTGCGACTAATGGAAAATTACTTGCATTTTTTTGCAAGTTAAACAGATATGCATACATAAGCAGACACTTGTAATTTAACTTTTTGAAACTTTTTCTAAAGTTCCAAAACTTCTCGGCTTATAGACGGAAATATATAGTAATTAAAAAAGGGGGAATGTGCAAGGATATGAGGTATTCTTGATTCTTTGATGTTTCTGCTTTTTCATAAATTAGCTATTTTGAAGTAAATCTTTACATGTGACATACAGTTGAACCCCGCACTTATACATACTCTCTTTTTGCAGACGTTCTCTATTAATACAGTTCTTGAATCCCTGGACCTCAAAAGCAAGAGACGAATACACTCCTATTCAGCAGACACTCGCTGGTAATGAACTAACTGAAAACCAGAAATTCACTCCATCAACACACATTGTGTTTTCAACCACAACAGTCCATAATCAGGAAAATTGTTCATTGTGAACAAACTAAACAATCTAAAATCTAAAAAATAAATCATACATATATGCCATTAATTTGTTTTCCACTGGCTTCAACTGAAATACAAATATAAAGTAGTGGTCTCAAACACAAATTGTATGTGGGCCGCATGCTCAATCTGATAACAGCTGACAGGACAGATCATATTTTTAACTAAATTTAAAAACATTTTTAACAACATAAAGCAAGAGAAGGAAAATAGATAACAATAAATTCCAAATTTCATTTACTGAATATTTATCAAATCATAATAATAATAACATAAAGGAAAAAATTCAAATTTATATTTATTGCCTATCCAAAGTCTAAAAATTGGTACAGAGCTGGATAAACTATTAAGCAAAGTAAGTACCATACTTTTGAGTAGGTAAGTTGCATTGGCATATACGCCAAACATATGATAACTGACAAAAAAATCTGATGTGTACACCACATGACGGAATATTAAATTATATGCATTTTTTCTTGAATTTCATTTAAATTGATTGGATTGAATTAAATCTACTTCGTCGACAGCGCATAAACCACAATAGAATAAATGCACTCTTTAAAATTCACTATATTTGTTTACTATAACGACACTCTGAATGCACAAAATTTATATCATTTGAAGAATTATCGTTGCCACATGTTCTATTCAAATACTATAATAAAGCTAGAACGATGTATAAAAGAAATTAAGCAAACAAAACAAAAAAGAAACAGTTTTTCACAGACGATTGAGTATTTCTCATTCAATTAATTCAGTTCTCACTTCGCGACAAGGCAAAAATACATAAAAACTCAAAATATCTGTATTAAAAATTACGAAGTAAATCTTAAACACTTATTTCCTCGAAAAAATTCCAGAAAGGATTAAGCATGATTTAATTCGCAATAATAAATGAAGGCGTTATCTTTGTTGTTGCGAAGCTTAAGTTTCTCTAGATTGGCAACAAATCTACAATTCTGCTGTTTCAAATGTAAACAAATATGGCCGCCATGTTATTTAAAACTTAACCGCACTTAAACAAGCTTTAAATTGATAATTCTACAAATATTGCTTCCAGATTTACTAAAGGCATAAAAACCTTAACCGGAAGATAAAAACAACATAATTCAATCATTTTTAAAGCAAAAAATGTACAATTTACAAACATATAAGAGTAAAGAAACTGAGATCACTGAGCCGGGTAACAGAGTGGATATATATATATTTATATACGTTTGGTGCGGCCGATTGCAACCAAAATACGAGGTGCACATCTACATGTTATAGCAGTCCTATATACAAAATTTCAACGTTCTGAGGCTACTCGTTTTTTAGTTATGCGAGATACGTACGTACGTACGTACAGACGCCACGAAAAATTCTCTTCAGAATTAATTTTAAAGCAGTTTTATAATTTTTTTGGAGGAAAAGAGTGTCTTTTATTCTGTCCTTACGCACAGATATCACGCAAAAACATCATTAAATTGCATTCAAGAGCGGTCAAAATGGATATTTTCGTTGAAATGTTGCCTGAAACTTTTCGCAATTACAATACTTCCTTTTTACTTTGTACAGGGAAGTAAAAATGAGTTTATGAGATAACGGCATCACAGTATACAGCACAGCAACATGGCACCTTTAAATAGGTCATTTATTCAGTAACTCCCAAGGCTTAGAAGAGATGGGCTAGTTATAGAGATTTTCGCTTTGAAACTGGAAGTGAGGAGTGATGATGTAGTCATGTTGACACTGACTGCAAAGATGCAATTCGCAGCAAAGAAATAAATGTTTTATATTAGAAAAAAAAACTGTGTGTGAAAAAAAACAGCTTTAATTTGGAAGAGAAGATGTTATTACTGTAAGCATTTATAATGTTTAAAAAGTTAATAATACTTATTTATCAATTTAAAAATAATACACAAAATACGCTATGTTTTCTTATAAGTTGCAGGATCCCCACCTGAGCATTTATTATCAAATCATGAAGGGTAAACATATGGCACTCATTATCTTTTCTTCATCTGTATACTAAGTGGGGGAATTCTATTACTCTTTCTAAGATAACTATAACAGCTTTTTAAAGTTAGGCAAAAAAGAAAAGAAAACTTAGTTTGGCATAGTTTTGAGTATATATGTTATCCCCCCCTGCAGGTAAAGCATGGTGGTAGGAAGTTAGATGGAGTGGCCCTAAACTGGTTTCCCCATACCCTGCTTTGAAGCACTACTTTCAATCCCTTCATTGATGACCAAAACATTAGGTAATTGACCATTAAATTCAATGTGTTTTGATACGATCGGATATAAATATTTTGTAATTATGGTATAAATATGCATATAAATGTATATATTTTCTTTTTCTAAATACTTCAGAATCCTAAGTGTAATTATGGTATAAATATGCATATAAATGTATATATTTTCTTTTTCTAAATACTTCAGAATCCTAAGTATATGAAAAGAATAAAAGATTACATTTTTAAATAACATTTCATTCTGAACGGAATTAAATTCACAGAAGAGTTACACTAATAACACTAATACTTTTCACAGAACAGTTTGCTCAGAATGGTTTAATTTGAATGAAATATTTTCACAAGTTTTCATTAATTAAATTAGAAAGAAATTTTAAGGTAATTCGATTTTATTCGGTTAAGGATTACAAAAATTAAGATCAAAGTTTATTGTATTATTAATATTAAAATTATGCATTATTTCTTTTCTATTTATAGAGCTTTTTAAAATACTTTCTCAAATATGGCATGATTTTTTAGCTTCTGAGGCATCTTTTAAATCGAAAAATATAAGTCAATTTATAATTAACTCTCTTCAAATTAGAGCACTTTTTATTTTAATAGCAAAATACTTTAAATAGTACTTAACTTTCTCTGAATATTTCTGAAAGAGAATAAAATAAGGATTTTTTTTTAAAGTATTATTTAAAACTTGTAACTGAGTTATATAAAATGTAAGGGGAATAATTCTTTTAATTATACTTATCAGATTTTTTTTTACCCTTAATTTCAACAATACATATTCCTAAAACTCTTCTTTATTACTTTCTTAAGTGCGCATCTCATAGAATTTGCTTTACAATACCTTTTAACAGATTGCTTTCCAATACGAACAATTCTTGCTTAAATAGTTTTATAACGTATTTGTCAACAGGATTTCAATTTATGTTTACAATTCAATATTAAGGTTATTATATATTTAGATAACATTTATAATCATTATAATTTTAGATACATTTAATAATTAGATTTTTTCACAGTTGTTTATGAAGTGAATAAATTCTTCATTTCAAATACATTTATAAATAATTTAATGAATATTTAAGTATTTTGTCAAAGGCAGATACATGCTTTTTGCAAGCACATGCAAAAATACCATTTTTCATTTCCGGCATGTGGAAATCTTTAATTTCTGTGCATTCACTATATTTTTCGAGTAAAGTAATTTACACTAATTTTAAAATGTCCACATATTTTTCACACCCACATAATTATTGTACATGTTACAATAATATGTGGATGTGAAAAAAAATGTATTTTATTTAAAACATTTTGGCGTTTGGAACATAAAATAAAAGTAGCGAATACTGTATCAAGGGTATCGAAAGATTTATACAATTTTAAAGGTACGGTGATGTATTTTTTATTCTTAAGCATAACATTTTTGCTAAAATCTATATTTTTGTAGTTCAACATCTTAGAATTTTATAAAACAAATTCATAATCAAAATCGCTGTTGTTAGTTATCGAAAAATAACCAAGACGTGATTTTTGCATAAATGTCACTAAACTATACAAATTGCTATTATCCATCACACAAGGAATTTACTGTCATGTGTTGAAATACTATCAGACCCAGTCAAGCGAGCTTCTGAATGTAAACAAAAAACATCCCATCTGGTGACCAAGGAGTGGTACTTCACTACTAATGCCGGTTTGGCCATTCCTTCCTTTCTTACCTCTATGAGCTAAAGGAGACGAACTTATGTTTGACTGCCCTTGGCATCAAGTTTTATTCAAAATTTAATCTAATCTTACACTGCTTTTTTGACATAGTTCTAAATTTTACCTTTGTGTGTTTCTCTTCTAATTTTATATAACAACAGATATTTTTTAAATAATTGTTTAACTTATACACACATTTATACACACACATTATATTACATTAAAATAAATACAAGACTGTTGTCTTAAGTTTGGCTTAGCTCACAGTATCTAAAGAGAATTATTTAATCTTTCAAAAGAGAGACAACGGAGAAAGATCTTTTTTATGTGAAATTACTTTGACATTTTATATGATTATAAATTACATAAAATGCTGACCTAGCTCTCTCTATTTTTCCCCCAAAATTATCAATGCATTCTCCTTGTTCATTACCTGTTCAAGTGCATTCTTTCTTTCTCTCCTTTTTTTTATGTTGATTTTATTTCTATAACCAAGTGAACTTCTCCAAATTAAACTGCTTAAATATATGGGTAAAATGTTAATAATATTTTTCTGTTTTAATTTCAGTATAGGTTCCTCCTCCTTTCCTGCATTTTCTTTAACTGCAGCAGAGATAACCATGAATTTGGGTTAACAGTGGATGATGCCCCCAGTATTACTAATGTTAGTCAACTATAGTAATAATAATAATAATTAATACCAAATCTAACAGTGCATTTACTCAGCATCAGTCTAAGCCTGAATGTTGTCTAACTTTAAATTAAAATGCCAGTATATCTTATAACATTTAACCACATTATAAAAAAAGGGAAGTATAATACAGCATGTTGTTCCCTGCAATTAGCTTCTTACCTGGGTTTCCAAATTATAGTTGATGAAGTTGTAATCATAACAAAGTTCGGTGTTGGGATATATGTCTTTCAAAGAAAATAAACCAACTCGGTAATGGCCATTCACATACCTATAAAATAAATACTCAAACCAGTTAGTAACACAAAGAAATGCATTCTGTAACATAGTCATATATTTTAAAATTAGGAAATATAATGCTAGTTTTAGTTCTATGTAGGTTAATAAAAGTTTAATTTGGGCAAAAATGGCAAATAATAGTTCTATATGAAGTATAATGGTATAGACAAGTGCCATAATTCTGTAACAAATAAATAATAACAAATGCAATAATGTAACAAAAATTTACAATACAATATGGAAGTAAAGCATTAACAAATGCAATAAAGTAACAAAAAAATTACAATACAATATAAGAGTAAAGTATGTTCAAATAAAATGCTTCCAAAATAGTCTACATTTCTACGATTAGTTTTTTTTTTTTTTTTTTTTTTTATGTAAAAGTATTGAAAGTATATTAATACAAAAGAATTTCACCAATAAGAAAAATTTAAATTTTACTGAAAACAGAACATCACTCATTAAATTGCCCACTCCTTTTGAGAACAGAAGGTCTGCAAAGGAGAGAGTTTTTAAGAGGAATTAAAGAGTAATTTAAAAAATTTATGCATTTTAATTCATTCATTACCATTCAGAACTACAAATGATTCTTATCTTAAAAAATGCTAAAGACTTTCCTCTACTTTCAATGTTATTTAAAAATAACATTTTCTGAAGCAGTGTCAATAATCTCATGTTTAGAAGTTACTCTATAGTCCTGGAGGTGTAAATCATACATCAAAAAAAGTTTTAACCCTTTGAGGTTCGGTGCATAATTTTTTTTAAATAACTTTATGCATAGATAATTAGCCCCTAATACAATGTTATTTCATGGAAAAAAAAACAGGTAAATCTTTAAGGTAATTCATGACGTGGTGGGATAAAGCTTGTCCCACCGCACATCTAGAGCAGTAAAATGGCATCTTTGCCTGAGCGTAAATTCTCCTAACATGCATATCTAAAGTGCTAGTTTTAGCAATGAAATGAAAATGCAATATATAAAAAACGTTTTTGAATAATTACCTGGGAAATATTGCTCATATTCGCAAAACAAAAATATTTTTTCAAAAAAAAATTTACATAATTTTTAAAAAATCACTCTCTGTACGACTTTTTAGATATTTTTTTAATGATTTCGTAATAGATTTGAAATAGAGATGATTTTCGTTCCAGTGTTTTATTTGCTAAAGGTCTGAGAAGGAAGATATTTAGAAGGACGTCATGTATTTTTACATTTCATCTCTCTTTCTTTTGCTTAGGATACTTTTCTATGGTGAATCACACTCACATATCCATTCAGTATTCAATGACATTTCATGTTACAGAGTTATATTTTCATTTCTTTCGGAAAAATACTAAATATTTTAAAAGTTTTAACATTATTGCAATTTATTAAAAAATATAAATTTGCATTATCAACATATAAAATGAACATGATATTTGAACTTAAAAATATTTAAATGGTGCTGCCATCTAGTAGCAGCAATTCCTACATACGCAGTGGGACACATCTGTCCAACCTTTTAATTTCATTCATTCTTAATAAATACATATAAATTAAAATAATAATATTTATTAGAAAAGGAAACTTTCACATTAAAATATTCATTCTAAAACCAAAAGTTGTTTAGATGATTTAAATTGCATCAGAAATTAAGAAAAAAAAAACTACTTCAAAATTAGACCTGCAAAGAATTTTTATTTTACATTATTTTCATGAATAAATACTTATGCTGCCATCTGTTATACATTTAAAGAAAAAAAAGGTGTAATTTATATGTGCTTTAAATGGAATTTTGCAGCTTTCATTTGGGAGATAAAAACTAATAAAAAAGTTGCGTCCCACCGCCCGTCAAAGGGTTAAGGAATATAAACTGTGACAAACAATTCTAGTCTTTTATCATAAAATGTCAAATAAATACCTTTATTAAGCTATGTAGATAATAAGCAAGGATAAATCTTTGAGGTATGATACAAGAAATTTTCTCTTTAAAATAACACATTTATAAATTTGTTTTCATCAATGAATAAAAAAATCTGATGAGTACACCACAAAATTTTCTTGTATGGCCAATTAAACTATACACATTTTTTGCTGCATTTCATTTAAACTTATTTCCTTGAATTTCATTAAAGATATATTTCTCATTCAATTAATTCAACTCTCACTTCACAGCAAGGTAAAAATACATAAAAACTCAAAACATCTTTATTAGAAATTGTAAACTACAGAAAACCATAAACACTAAATACCGTTTAAATAGTTAAAAAAAATTACTTTTTACAATTAAAATTAGAGTTCTGCACAAAAATAAGCAATTCAGCCAGCACGCAAGAACACAAATTTTTCGGTGCACAAAACTAAAAGTTTACTTTTGGTTCCACTCAGCAAAAAGAGACTGAAGGTTCTAAAACTGAATTCACTATTCTATTAAAGAGTTTCAAATGTAAACAAACGCTGGCGACTTTTGGCTACATTAGGCTTAGTAGCAACTGCATGCAATAGTTGTAGAATTATGAACAATTTATTATCTAAAATGTTCATAATTCTACAACTATTGCATGCAGTTTAATTAAAGGCATAAAAACCTTAACCAGAACATAAAAACAACATAATTCAATCACTTTTTTTAAGCAAAACATGCACAATTTACCAACATACAAGAATAAAAACCTTGAGCTCGCCAAGGCTGGTAGGACAGTGGGTATATACTTTTGGTGCGGCTGATTGTAACTAAAATGGAAGGTGCACAACTACATGTTATAGCAGTCCCATGTACAAAATTTCAATGTTCTAAGGCTATTCATTTTTGAGTTTTGCAAGATACATACATTATGTACGTACATACAGATGTTGCGCAGAAAACTTCTGAATCCATTTTAAAAATTCGTTTTGGGAAAAAGAATCCTTTACTCTGTCCCTACGTACAGACATCACACAAAATCATCACTCAAATGCAATCAAGAATGGTTAAAATGGATATTTTCATTGAAATATGATATACAAAATGTTTCATGATCACAATACTTTCTTTACTTCATACAACGAAGTAAAAAAAAAAAAAATCTAAATCTACTCCCAAAAAAGTCATCAGTGGTTTCATAAAATTACATGTTTAACTTGCTTCAGAAATTCTTTTAGACACATTAAACTGCTCTTATTAACTTATTAGCATATTTCTATACTCTGCAAGACATGAGGTTAGAATCTACAAGATACTACTAAAAATACTTATTTAAAAAATTCAGTACACAAACTTTATTCAAGGTACTTTAAAATAAATGTGAAGTAAATTGCAATTTTCCTGAAAAACATAGTTACCATTTTTGCATTTCACAGTTTGGTTCACAAGAATGGTTTACAAAACGTCCTTCGCCAGCCAAGCGATAACCATCAATAACTGTTCCAGAATCTAAGCTCAAACAATAATGATGTTGATCATTTCGATATCGCTCTGCCATTCTATGACGGAATTCTGTATCACTTACTACTTCTCCCACATATTCTAATATGAATTCACCTACAGAGAGAATAAAAAGCAATTCAATGTCATGCCTTCTAACATGAATAATTTCATGAAATGCATTTTTAAAATAAATATAAAGCAGTAAAACATAACAAAAATGTAATATCATTGTACAATCCTTATAGAACATCTTTATAAAATTAAACATCAAGTCCACCCTTCTTATTTAAAATTTTACAGAAGTTTAAAAACATGTATTAAAAAAAAAAAATTGTTGAATGATAAACATCAACATTTCTTACATTTTCACATCAGCTATACAGAGTTCATCACATTTGACTCACCAGATTCCACCCTCCAATCAGCAATTTAACATTTTCTTTATCTAATAGAATATATTCCTACAGTACAAAGTCTGTAATCTGAACGTCCATTATCCAGAATGATCTATAATCCGGACCTCAAAGCCACAAACTTTTATTTTTTGTAATGCGTTTACACATACGCATTTAATGTTATGCATACGCGTTTAATGTTACATATGCGCATTTAATGTTTACGCATGCGTGTTTAGCACAAAAAAACGGAGGAACTTAAACAACTTACATTGTAAGAAATGTTTAATAAAGTAAACAAATAAATATTAAGCTTTTTTTTGTGTAAATTTTGATACCCTTTAGATCATAATTGCTCTTTATTTCATAAATTATGGTTTCATATTTTTAAATGTATAATTTCTGCATGCCATCCTACCAAATTTAAATTGATAATCTATAATCTGGAAAAACCCTTAATCTGGAATCGCCGAAGTCCCGATGAGTCCGGATTACGGACTTTGTACTGAACATATAAACACAGCTGGCAGCCAACCTTAAAATTTAAAAAACTGCGAGTTTCCTGAGCGCTTTCACATTGTGAGGTGGTGTCATTTTAAAAGAATTCAAAACTGATTTAAATTCACTTTATAATATGATTCAGTTTATTCAACTATATATAACAGACATGGGCAAACTGCCACTCTCTGACACCTTAACTGTGGCTCGCGAGTTATTTGTGATCATTTGCCATCTGAAATGTAATTTGTTTTGAATAATTTTTTTAACATAAATGGAATTTGAAATCATGCAGTGCCACGTTTCTTTATTAATCACGAATTTAATTTCTGATATTATGTATGCAAAAATTTGAAGAATTTCAAACAGTCCAGTGCTCGCTTATAGTTACAGCAACAAATACATAAAATTACAAATAATTCCGTTTCTGGTAATTACCATTCTGCTTATATTACTTTTTGAACAGGCAATGGTCATTGAAATACACTAATACGAAGTTTATCTAAAACTCAGGGTTACATTTATATTTAATTGTTCTCCGTAATATTTTTTCTCTCAAGTTAATTTTACATTAGGCTGTATCTGCTTACATTCCTGTATGATCCCAATGTTCACAACAGTTGCGATCCACCTGGAAGATTTGTTATTCTTTGTAGGGTACTATTTTTATTCAGTCCTTGAATGGCATAACTGCTGAAGAAACCTGTTCCACCTTGCGATCCATATAGAGCTATTTTCAATCTGTGGAAGAATTTTATGAAGATTTAATTTTTGGTGGAATGAATCTTCAGCCTCTTACTTGGTTAGGAGACTTATCTCAATTTTCTGTAGAACTCCTTTGAAAGTAATTTTGCATCACTAAGCAAGTCAAGCCTTTTTATGTAATTGTTTCACATATTTTGCAAGTATTTACAATAATATGCTTAATGAAACCGTTTTCCAAATGAAACTCTATCTTTCATAATAATTTCTTGGTAATCCTAGGCAGAGATCATAATTTATTTCACCAATGGCTGAAATATTTGGAGTCATGAAAAGAATTAATGGCTGACAGGAAAAATCACTGGCTTGACAACAATTTAAATTTTAATCGAAATATTTAATTCCCAATTATCAAATTCGTAATTATTCCAGATGGAGATCTTTCATCTTAATTATCAAATCTTCATATCAGTAATATTGCTTCAAGCAATGATGGATCAACAGAACACAAGCAACTCTCTTCTCCAAAGTTTCTGCCAAAATCAGCACACTGATATTGGTAAAATCTCTTTAGCTTATAATATTTTCTCGTATTTTTCGATTTCTTGTTTGATGACCTTCTTTCTTTCTACCTCGCACAAGGTTAAAGGCATTTTGCTGTCTGGCATATCTAAGATTGTTCACCCTTAAGTTACTGCCCGCTGCATCTGCACTGGTTGCCCCAGCTCTGATGCCAGCATTACACTTCTTTTAATCTATAGATATTTTTTGTCTTCCTAATTTTTGATCAACATGTACGCCTGACACATCCTTCATGAAAGCTTCGTAGCCAAACAAAAAGTTGTACAGTGATCCACTGCTTGATCGCTTAAAATTTCAGACAATAATGTGAAATTTTGTTCCCCTAAATGTTTAAAGTCTGATCTTTTATTTCTTAAAGTATCCTCTGCCTACAGACTCTATTTGAGATTTATTTTCTGTACAGGTTAGGTAGCTCAATGTATGTAAAAAGAAGGCATAATGTATATTTTATTCCTCCTTCTTCTTATTTTGGCAGATTGTGGGAAGTTAATATAAAATCAATGAAGAGAAATTTGACTTGCAAAGACAACAATTTTAAGCTTCGAAGAGCTTTACACATTAATTACACAAATAGAACTTGCTTGAACTCTCAACCTCTATCAGCTATTTCTGCTGTTCCAACAGATCTTCAGCTTTTGACTTCAGGTCATTTCCTAGCAGGAGCTCCACTTTTGTCGACACCTAGATTCTTTGTCCTTGCTTTCTAGGTGGACCTTAATTCAGAAACCTTAAGAGCTAATTTCTAGAGGGAGGAATATTTACACCATTTGCAGACCAATTCAAAATGAAATCAATTGATATGCAAATTCAAAGTAGCAGAATTAGTTTTGCTAAAAGATAAAAACAAGACTCCCATGAAGTGGACACTAGCTCGCATTGAAGAGACCTTTCCTCGTCCGTATGGACTATTATAAGTCATAGACGTCAGAATATCAGATGGAATATTTCTTCCAGCTGTCTCCAATATCAGTTCACTTCCATTCCCAAATGATGTCACAGAATCCTCCAAAAAGTGACAGGATGTTCCAGTTTGAATAGACACTTTTCTCTGCCTCTGAATAGCAATGTAAAAATTGGTAGAAGTTTAGAGAATGCTACGTGGCACCAGTGTGAACTTTGGAACTTGTTTTTTAATTGTTTGATGTATCTTGAATGTTGTTGATCATATGATAAATAGATTCTAGACTAGAATAATTTGTGTTGGTAGTCTAATAAATTCCTTTTTAAACTACGTTAAATGCTGATTTAAATAGGAATACAACTGAACCATATGGTAGAAATTTAGATGTGGCACTTAGATTCAATATAGAACTTTGTCAGACATGCTGCAACATTACTATCTGTTACATAACAAAATCAAATGAAATGAGATAATGATTTTATGACTTGAAATGGTTAATAAATGAGAATTTATCAAAATAAAAGTCATGACAACGATTACTTATCTACTGCATATGTATAGGTAACTGCTCATCTTAAAATTATATAGCTTTGAATTAATGCAGTTGGTCCTTATATTTTGGTTTGGTTTATGTGATTACAACAAAGACTTGAGAGAAGGAATGCCTTTGTGAATTACTTTCAAGAGAAATTGGCTCATATACACGTTACACACAAAGACTTGAGGGAAGGAATCTAAGGGAAGGAATACCTTTGTGAATTACTTTCAAGAGAAATTGGCTCATATACACATTACACAGGAGGGTAAAAACACAAAAATGGCATGCAGCCAGCCCGCTTGCGGGATTCGAACCTTAGACTGAACTATGAGTATTCAGCGACTTTACTGCTTAGCCACTGGTGGGGCTGTTGGTCCTCATGACTTAGTGTAATATTTTTATGTGAATAATATACCCAATTATCTCTGCTATCATGCTCCATCTAGCTCCCCCCCCCTTTTCTTTTTTAAGATGCCAGGCAAGCTAGAAAAAAAATTGCCTTGAAAAACAAGAGAAAGAAAAAAGATAACTTTCGTGAAGGTTGTTCCTTTAACAGTTACAGTATCATGAATGAAATTATTAAGAGTAAATTTATACAGTAAAAGCTACATGTAAGAACTGCATTTTATATGCTGCTTTAAAAGTTAATACAGGACTTCAGGATCATGAATTTAATGGTTTCAGAAGAATATTAGTTCAACTACAAACTGGCAGATTTAAACTGTCATAAAAGGCTCATGGCAAAGACTGACCATGACACCACTGATATGAGCCCTCTTGTTGACCTAAACGGGTTGATAAAGTTACACAGAGATCTCATGTTAACTGCATTTGGACTTCAACTTTTCTTATTTATGTTGTTTAAATATAATACAAATTTACATAATAATAAACATATCACTTTTTTATTAGAACCATTTCAAACATGAAATGGCTGCTGTTGTCGTTACGATGTTGAATGCAAGCATGCATGCAGTTGCTTGCCTTTTGCACTAGGTAAGTCAAATCAGCAATGGTCTAAGCTAGTTGTAAATGATGGATTTGTCGCCCAATCATGTTTCATACATGCTCAATGGGAATAAGATCTGACCCAAAAGTTGCATACGTACTTTTGCGTAATGAGAATAAATAATATTTCACAGCCCGTATGCATCTAAGCTATTAGGGATGTGTCAAGGATTGTATGCATCTAAGCTATTAGGGATGTGTCAAGGATGTTCTGCACTCTTTTTTTAATATTATGCATATAAATAAATGAACTCTTGGAATGGGTTAAGAAGTTAAAGAAAGTTACAACAGATTTAATCAATTTTTTTAACATTGGATATTTCTGTTTTCTATCTTCTTTTAACTTTGTTGTTGTTGGTCCCCCCCCCAATTTTCTGTATAACAAAAACAAAAAAATAATTTTTCTGTACAAGAAAAATTTCTTAGTAAACTCAGTTTGCTCATATAAGAAGTTTGACCTCTCACTGAACTTCATTCAGTCTTTGAACTTTATATAAACTAAAAATTTAAATTTTTACAATGTCCGAATGATATTGTTAGGAATGCCCAGCTGCAGCGGTAAGCTAGATTCCCCTCAAAGCAGGGTTAGGGTTGCCAGAAAGTGGCAAGGGTTGCTAGATTTAGCAACAAAACTGGCGACATGCCATACACAGAGCGAGAACATTCTAGAATGAATTCTTACCAGTTTTTCTGATAATGTTCTCCAAAGGCAGATCAAAAGCTATAAATACCCCACCTGTACATGGAGTAGCAGTTTATTTTGAAAGAATCTACAATATGTTGAGTTCGGTAATAGTGTCTTGAGTTCAGAGATTAGCTCGAGAGCAATCGACTGAGTCAGAAGCTGTACTTTAGTGCTCCAACGTAAAGCTTTCCTCTCCGTTATAGCCTGAAGGCTGTGTTGCCGACTGTTTCAGCATGTTTATCGCACTTTTCTGATGGCTGTAAACGTGTCTTTGGAACTCTCCTGTGTAATACTGACAAATAAATTATGTTCTGATTCTTCATCAAGTGTTGTCATCAATCACTCCAAATCCACACAACACAACAATATCATTGTTCTAAACATGAATAAGAGAAAGATTATGCATCTATATTTCATGAATCCTGAAATTCCAGACTTGAGAAAGTAAAAAGTATGTAATTTTGACTATATCTGGACCATAATCACCACAGATACAACTTGGTAGATCCAACCTCTGATGCAAATACACAGAAAATCAAATGAATTTGAAGTGCAACTAAATGGATTTCTATTTATTACATTTCAGTTCAATTCATATTAATTACATTTGAATTTTTTAACTCATATTTAGGTGAATTTATAAGCCAGCACTTCATAGTACATGGGTAAATAATTGATTCTATTACAATAACATTTGATGAATAATGGCTACCACATAAGTAAATAAATGTTACCTCCTATTCACATTGTAGGTTTTCCTTTTTTGAAGGTTGGCACAGTGTTTTTTTAATTTTTGCTAATTAATGTTAAGTGCCGCACCAAAGCATATGTTGTGGCTGCTTCAACAAAAGAGTACCATTTTCTGTTATATAATATCCTCCTTAAGCTTTAAATCTTAAATATTTTTTTAAATTGCAAAAATGGCCAAAGAATCACTAAAATCATTACTGGTCCACATATGGCTACAAAAATTTTTCTCCTTTTATCCACTGATCCCCCCCTTATCCTAATGTGGAGTGAAAATTTGCGATGATAGCCTTTGGAAATGGTGTTTCTTGATTACTTAAATATTCACACACTTTAGAGTTATATAAGAACATTCTAATAAACTTGAAGTTCTGTAAAGCTAAGCTTATAAAATGAGTAACAAAGAAACTTTGGCATTAACTTTATTAAGCTCAACTGAAGGATAATGAAAAATAAAGCTAATGGTGGTGAAAAAGTTTTGTCATCAATATACAACACAATTTATAATTACAGCAATTTACGACACATGAAAGAAAGAATATCAGACAGAAATTTCAAATATTGTCATAATTTATATTAAAAAATGCATCACAATTTACTTTATTTAGCTTTTGCCTACTTTTACTAATATTTAACTTCAATACTATTTTTTGCAGTTACAAAAAATGTGCAACTAGACATTTATTCCTCCTCGCCCCACAAATAGGCTATCAGAGTTGAAGGGTGTTCTATCATAATGGCAATATATGATATGGCAACCATATCATTAAATACACTTTCAACAATGAATACACGGAAGCGAGTTAAAAGTAACTAGTTAAAAGTAAATAAATGCTGGGGATTTGTTTTCCATTTTATCTTAATAAGAGTTGCTTCTGTACAATACAACTGTCTAAATAACAACCATTCTGTCAATACAACTTTCTGGTGATATACTTTTACATAGTCTACGAGTTTTCAATTTATGTAATATCTGAATGACATATTTTATCTAAAATAAAATTTAAAAAAGATGATGAATGAACATTTCACAAACCCAGAAATTCCAGATTTGAGAAAGTAAAAAATCCAGAATTCTGGCCATATCCAGACCACAATCACCCTTGTTTATTATAATGCTAATATTCAACTGGCAAACAATAAGCTAAAATGCCCAGATATCATTTGTATGATGGTAAAAAATGAAACCTATAAAAGTTTCAGAATCTACATTTAAAAACTATTACATACCACATCGAATAAACTCAGTAGTCCTTATTCCCCAACCACGGTCTTTAGTCATGAAACGCTCAAGTCCAGGACTCCACTCATGTTTAAAAATTCTTTGATTAGAACATTGATCTTTGCATGGGCATAGCTGAGGTGTGCATTCTACATACATCATCCTGCAATAATGAATTAATGTATCAATAAAAGACTAATATATGGTGAAGGATTTATAATAATTATAATATTTTTTATAACTCAAAGCAAAATTAATCAAGCAGATTATTACTATCACAAAATAAGCCATTATAATATAAAACAGTACAGAATTTGAAGTTCCTAAATGATAAAGCATTAATAAAAATTTTTTTTGAACGTATTGCACTAAACTTCATATCTAAATATGGCTTTTAATAAAACTTTGATATTTACTCACAATAAATTCTTCAACGTGGGAATTAAACTAAATATCTATCTTTTAATATATAATACTGAAATATTTCACATTAACCATTAAAAAATACCAACTGTACACATCTAGAACACTGACGAAAATGGCTGCAAATACTTTTCATTTGTATTACTAATAAATTTGCCACTTATTAATCCAAAAGGGATATTAGTCTTGAAACACAATACTGCATTGTTTCACTTTTCATTTGTTGCCACTCTGCAAAATATAAGGTATTTATATTTAATCTGTCTGTTGATGATTAACAGACTAACTTATTTAAAAGCAACAGAGGCAGTTCTTATTATTATCACTGAGAGTGCAAATAAGTCTCAACCATTTGACAAAAAAAAATGGTACCATCAGTAAGTTAAGGTTAAAATTATTTGATGTAAAACATCCTATCATAAGGTTGGACATCTGCTAACAACAAAACCTTGAAAAATTAATAATTTTGTATCAGCATCATAATTTTTTTCATGTGAAAATGTTGAGTTTTGAGCCAAATGAGCATCATCTGTGGGAACTTTTGACTTACTTTTTTAATTTGAAGAAATCTGCACATCGATTTCTTGCAGAAGCATAAGGTGGGCCTGCTTTTAAGTGAGAAAAGATGCCGTGAGTGATTTCAAAAGTTTAAGAATGGTGAATTTGACGTTGAGGACAAAGTACATAACAGAAGAATGAAAGTGTACGAAGATACAGAATTGGAAGTATTATTGGATAAAGACTCATGCCAAACACTTGCATTTATATTAGGAATGACTCAACAAACATTTTCACATCATTTAAAATCAATGGGAATGAATCAAAAGCAAGGAAATTGGGTTTCGTATGAACTGAAGCTGAGAAACATTGAACACTATTTTTTTACACACTAAACACTGCTTGCCAGGCATAAACAAAAGGGCTTTTTTCATTATAGTCACTGGTGATGAAAAATGAATCCACCATATAGCCCTGACATCGCTCCTACAGACTTTACCTTTTCTCACACCTGCAGCTACATCTTCCTGGTGCTATCTTCCATTCTGCACAGGACGTCTGAAATGGGGGTTATCTTGTTTTTGGACTTGCAACCACCAAGTTTCTAGGCTGAAGGCTTTGAAAAACTACCAAAACGTTGGCAGAAAATCATAGATTTTGGTGGTGATTACTACCCGCACTAAAGGTACTGCTACTGTTTTTTGGCAGAAAACTTTCGTTACAACCAGATATTTCTATCATTTCTGCTAATTGTTACTGAGTAATAATATTTATAAGCCACCCAGCCGATACAGTGGTTAGTGATTGACTGCCATAGCAATGGATGCAGGTTCAAATCTTCTAGAAGGCATGGCTGTAACTGTCTGTCCCATCATAGGAGGCAATAGTGGTCACCTATTAGGAACTTCCATAATGAAATGGCCTTGTAGTGGCACAAGGATAATGGCTACTAAATAAAATGGATGGCCATTTAAAAAAATAATAATAATAACAATAATATCTATGAAGTACCGATTTTTTTTAAATGCAAAAAATATCTAAACTATATTTCCATAATGCTCCAATAAAATTGCAAATTCTGTTTTGCTAACAGAATGTTAAAAAAGAAAAATGCAGATACAAAAAAGGAAAAACTACTTTTTTTTTCTTAAAAAAAAAAAGTTCAAAATCTGAGTTTCTGCAGATTTTTAACAAATAGAAATTGGTATCATATTTCATTTATTCTTTATATTTTATTTATCTCTAGTAGTTCTTGCAATTAATGTTTGTATCCTAAACTAGCACAGAAATAACATTTTTAAAATGCCTAATTTGAAGGTTAAAAAAATGAAAATTTTACAAAACATGAGAAAGGTCATTATTGCCAAGTTTTGAACTGATTGTTTTCTAATGTACTAATACAAATTTTAAACTATAAACTGAGAAAACGCATATTTTGTTATTAAATTCGCTAATCATGCAGTCATTGCTTTTAGTTAGTTAGTTATTTCTTAAACGTTCCACTAAAACACTATTTTTATATGTGAATGTACAATACCATGGCATGAGAAAGAAAACGATTAAAATGACAACCAATTTTAGTGCTGCCATCTAAAAAATAACTAACTAGATGTCAATAATAGTTTTAAATCATTTACAATATGTACACAAACATTTATAATTTACATTTAATACTGAGCAAATTAATAAACATTATACTTTTATACATAATTTTTATCATCTTTATTTATGTCTATACTTTGTTTGGTAAATACTTTGTAAAGTTTCAAAAATTTTCAATCAGCACTAAAATTTGATTACCAGTTACAGTATGATTCATGTTACCAAGGACAGGAAAACGCCTTAAGTATCAAAAAAAGATTCATTCCAAGCATAGATATGCTTTCCACCCTTATGCAGTAGATTTCCACCACCCATGGCAAATAAAAGATGTCCAAAACTCTCACTGAACATAGTAAATATTAATATTAAGCAAAAGATTTTGTCCTGACCCAAGATGACACGAATCATTATTCTATCACAGTTCCTTTAATGTAAAACACAATAAATACCTATTTAGGCATTCCGCTCCACAACCTCGTCTTCTGGAGTCTTTTGGAGGAACACAATTGCATGGCTGATCATCATTTTTAGAATCAGGTTTGATATCCACATAAACATCTAAAATTTTAATGAAAATATTTCAGAAATGTATACTAAAAAAACTGCAAAACTAATTAATTTTTTTCAACTTTTATCTCTCCATAAAGAAGTCTCAATATTATCAACTTAGAAAGTATCAAACTTCTACTTAATATCATGTCATCCTATATGTAACATGTTTTTAAGTATGTGTTGAGGAAATAAAAAAAATAAGACACTAATTTAATTAACTATAGATTCTTGATGAGAATCAATAACAATCTCCCAATGCTGTGACAAGTTTCAAAATCATATCTGAGTGGCAGCAAATGTCCAACAGAATCATAGATACTAGCCTTTATGGCTCACCATCACAACTCATTTCAAAATGTTTCCTACAGATACAGTTTTCTACTAGTATAATTATTTTGAATTTTTTTAATATATGTTAAGAAAACTTTTTTTTTTTTTCAAGCTGGCATCTTATTAAATCACCTGATAGAATCTTGACCAGTTTTCCTGAGATATTACTTTATTTGCTACATAAGTTAAAATGTGGTTAAAATGCATAATTTTTAAGTAAATTACTCTGATTTTTATTTTTATTTTATTTTATATATTTTTTTGTTATTATTTTATGTGTTTCCCTTATGAAAATCAGAATCATGCAACAAAAATAAAATAAAGAGCACTTACTTGTCTTTATTTTCTTATAATTATTCGTCAGTTCATCATTATAAACAAGCTGAAAATACATTTAAAAGAATGTAATAACTGTACATGAAACTGCAATATATATGAAAATACAGTAATCAAATTGGTATTGAACAGTATGAGATATACAGCTTTTGAGATAGTATCTACAATCATCACACTGTAAATTACCAAGAGAACATCGTCAATCTTTGCAGATGGTATTAACACTCATACAATTTAATCATATTGTGGGGGGGGGCTAAAGATTCTACACAATATACAAAGTACCATACTGCAAATATTTTTATGTTATCTAAGCCGCATGACAGAGATCCATTATTTAAAGTGATGATTAATATTTGGTCATGCTGTGCAATATTCATAATGCATATGGTTAAAAAACTGATAAAATAGTCCTTTTAATTGTATTCAGAGCTTTTTTGTTTGTTTTTAAGGGCTTTTATTTTGTAAAACTGGAAGCAATTTAAATTTACTGGAATTAAAAATTGAATATGTTATTTAAAGAATTAATGAAATTATTTTCCCTTATGAAGTCTTAATAATTTATATTTATTTTCCTATTTTAAAGCAGTATACTATATTAATACTGTCAAATCTTTACAATCGGTACATCATTAAAGATTACTGTAGTAAAACATGTTTTAAAAATAACAGTTAAAAAAAACCTCAACCAATGTTCTTTTAAACATAATCCTTAAATAACTGAATTATACAGATTTTCTCAAGCATTTCATTTCAGGTTCTCATGCTTTCATCTTTTAAACTTTTACCAGTTTTTATTATTGAGCATAATTTCACCTTTTTGTTCATGCAGCATAACCCACACAAAATATAAATTCCCTTCAAATGATTTTAAAATTATTTGGAACTTAATTCTACATTTGAAATTAACATATGTAATAAATTCTCATTGATCTTATACAGCTTTCAATTCCTAGAAAGTACCTATAAAAAATTCATTGTTTCATTCATTGACATTTTTCTTACGAAAAGAAATTTTAACGCTCTGGAGGTTTTGAGAAAGATAAGATATTGTTTCCTAAAGCATCAGCAGCTTTGTCAACAAAGCTTTTGAAAACTGTGGAACATTTCTTTCACTGAATGCATCAAAAGCGTTAAGTAGTTTTTTTTTAACCCCCCTCCCACACCTGCAGATAATGATCACGTGAACTGATTACTGTCAGCTATAAAAGTATCAATCACTATCAAAACTTTGCCCTTTGGTAGTTTTCAAGAAGGAAGCATTTCAAAAATGATCCAACTTCTAACAGTAATTGTTCGCTTTAGTCAGGAATTATGGTACCAAATTAAAATTTTGTGGAAAACTGCAAACCAAGACGTTAAAAAGAATTATAAATGTTTATTTTTTTTTCCCCTGTTCATAAATTCTGCATTTGTATGTATGCATGTATGTATGCATATATATATATATATATATATTGCTGCATTTTTCTTTTCTGACACCAGTTGTTACGTTATTTTCTTCCTTCACGTTCATACGGGGTTTGTAGATTTGGAGTGAATAACGACGACACTTGATGAAGTATCAAAACACACTTTATTTACCAATATTAATCAGATAGCTCCAAAATCATTTTTACAGTCGTCGAACTGTTATAAACACGCTGACACATTCAGCGACACAGCTTTCAGGTTATCAAGCTATCATGGTGGAGACAGCTTCACTGCAAAGCACTAGAGTACAGCTCACGACTCTGCTCAGTCGTTCTCAAAACTCCACGTACTCTAGAGACTCTCCACGCTACAATTCGTGATGCACTCGACGACACACAGAGCACAGCTCCCGACTCTTCAGTTCAGTCATTCCCAGAACTCAACACGCTGTCTCGACAATGCACTAACTGTGATACACTAAGAGACTCCTTTGGTGCACTCGACGACCCACTCGGCACTCGCTGCCCGGCTGTCAACTCCATAGTCTTCGCACAGACTAACTAGATGAGAGACACCAACTTGATACTAACTCTTTCGCACTCTACACGAGGCACACACACTGACTGACTGCGCACCAGCAGTTTTTATATAGCTTTCGGCTTGTGTTCGAGAACATTCTGGGCGAAAACGGTAAGAATTCGTTTCAGAAGGTTCTCCATCTGTCCATGGCATATTGCCAATTTTATCACCAAATGTGGCAACCCTGTCTTCCCTTGCCATTTTATGGCAACCCTAAAACTGCTTTGCAGGGTAGCTATCTCACAGTGCCTGTACATTTCGCAACAATATACATATATTTATTTAAATTTGTATGTACAATCTGTATGCATACGGCTATAATATAAAAATATTTTTCTGTTTCTAACACCCTTCACTTTAATTAATTAATTTACCTCTTATATATGATTGCTTGCTTGGGGTAGAAGGAATATTTTCTCACTGAAACACTATGATTTTTTATTTATTTTTTTAATAAAGTAAAAAGTAAACTATCTTGGGAACTTAGAAATTTTTTTTCCAGCTTTGGGTATTATTCATCCAGAATTTATTTTAAACTGTGGATATATATATAATTTCACAATTTACTTGATATAATGACAGAACTAATTAACTGAACATGAAGTAAAAAACTTGTTTACTTGCTAATCATAATCACAGACGCCTAAGTTTTTGTCATGCAATTTTCTGCTTTTGTGTACAGCAATAAGTAAAGAAAGCCAAGAGTTTATTAATTGTGCCATAATGATATTGTTTCTTTAAAATCTAAGAAAATATCAGAATATTTTACTATTCCACTACTTATTTTTTTGGGGGGGGGGAAGTTGGACTAAGAGCAAATAAACAGATGGTCTTAGTTATGTTAGTTGCTCTTAGTTACTCATGTTAAAAAAATTATAAGCGCATTAATGAAAAAAATCGGATTTTGATGGATTGATTCTTGTGGTTTTATTAGTTTCTATACCTTTAATTCTTTCTCTCACTATTTATAGAAAGAATTAAAGAATTAAACAGAGACACTAGTCCCTAAGGGTAGGGATGACTTCATGGACGAATTTCTGAGGGAATTGGTTCGTATACACGTTGCACATGGGGAAAACAAAGAAACAGCTTACGCATTGAGCTTGTTCGGCAGGACATGAATCCTGGGGCAAATTACCAGTGTTCAGAGACTTTATTAATCGTCCGCTGATGGACCAACGCTCTTGATGGGCTTTATGGAACATGAGTTTTGTATGTGCACTTGGAAAACTGAAAATATTTGTTTCAAAATATTATAGTTATATAGAGGTAATGCTTAGTTTTACTAAACATTTTCGATCAGTATTACTTTCTGTGTAGTTACCTAATACAGAAACATAACGTTTTATAAATATTTATAGTCATAATTTTGTTTTGGATCTACTGAATAAAGATTATTTCCCAGAATTCACTACATTCTTAAATTTTATTTTTCAGTATAATAATATGCAATTATTTTTAAAGGGTGTAAATGGTTGAAGTTTTGAAATATGAAAAGAAAAAAAATTATGTTTGCACTCAAAAAATGCAAATGATAATGAATTTTAAAATAAATTGTGTAGAACTGATTATGATTAGATTCATCTTCCTTCAGTTAGGTTTTATCAAGAATATTTATGCATTATGCTTGTAGGACTGCTATTATTTTATATAGATAATGTTTTTCCTTACCTACGGTTTGCAACAAAAAAAATTTTGATTCAAACTTCTGTAAAATAAAATACAAAACAAACATTCTATGGGAAAACTGAAGTGTAAAACCCTTTTTAATCACCTGGGCCCACCAGCGGCCGAGCGGTAAAGTCACTGAACAATGGTAGTTCGGTACGAGGTACGAATCCTGCGAACAGGCTGGCTGCATGGGTGTTTTTTTGGTTTTCCCCATGTGTAACATGTATATGAGCCAGTTTCCCTTAGAAGGTCCTCCACGAAGGCATCCCTCCCCTTAGACAGATAGCCCTCGAGGCTTTGGCTCTTATTTTCTATGCATATCCTGTTCTTTCTTCTATTTGTTTTACATTACCGCTTCTTTTCAACATTCACCTTATTTGAAAATACTTGATCTATTTTTAAAAATAAAGGCCAAACATTTCTCAATATTGTAGGAGAAAGCAGAATGTAAGAATGCATTCCTGTGAGTAAAATCTTTGGAAAAATGCTTCAATTTTATGATAAATACGTGTATAATATACAGTCAAAAGTCTTTAATCCGGACTCGTCGGGACTTCAGCGATTCCGGATTATCAGTTTAAATCTGGCAAGATGGCATGCCCAGGTGATTAAAAAGTGTAAAACCCTTTTTAATCACCTGGGCCCACCAGCGGCCGAGCGGTAAAGTCACTGAACAATGGTAGTTCAGTACGAGGTTCGAATCCTGCGAACAGGCTGGCTGCATGGGTGTTTTTTTGGTTTTCCCCATGTGTAACATGTATATGAGCCAGTTTCCCTTAGAAGGTCCTCCACGAAGGCATCCCTCCCCTTAGACAGATAGCCCTCGAGGCTTTGCCGTAATTAAATAACCTAACCTAACCTAACCTTTTTAATCACCAAAATGCACAATGTATTTCTGCTTCAAAGAAAAGATACAAAATTAAGTTTTGTTCACATGGCTGGCTGGCCTAGTTAGAAATAAATATATAATCTTTTTTTTTCTTTTTTTCTTTAAAAAACCAAATTCTACAAGATATCTTTTTTTTTTTTTTTTTTTTTTTTTACCAAAAAAAAAATGCATAATTTATTTATATTCAACTAAAAAATAGTTTAGACTATTTGAGCATATTGCAGAGCATAAGAGAGCTATTTATTGCAAACATGTGAGAGGCTGCCATTGTGAAGGGCTTTTTAAGGGAAATCTGACTTTTCACAAAACACCTAATGATGCAGTCAGCCCTTTCACCTATGTTCGAACTTAAATCAAGCTATTCAGTATTCAGTACATGTGTTCATACTAGTCCGGCTGTTAGCAAGGTTAGCAACTAACCGAAGCCAATTTAAAAATTTTATTCGCATACAGTAACTAAACTGGGCAACACTGCAATAAGAGAATTCCAGTCTTGCTAGTCTAGTCTTTTCTTGTGCTCTGTCGTTAGCTAATTTTAATGCAGTTAGCAGGTAATATCGGTAATGGAAAAATTTAAATGTAAATTGCACTTTAGAATTTTCCTTCGTATTGTTCACAGTATCACACAGTATTTCGTTCACAGTATTTCGTTCACAGTATCAGCCCAGTATAAACGAACAGAAACAGATAATAGTTATATATGTCCATGGGGGTCCTGACTCGTGGGCAGTGGAAAAGAAGTTTTTTATATCAAAGGTACCATATATAATATGTGGAATGATCATGCCCATTGCCTTTCATTTTTATCGTCTCCTCCTCTAATTTTTGACGCATATCCTGTTCTTTCTTCTTCATTTGTTTTACATTACCACTGCTTTTCAACGTGCAACCTTATTTGAAAATAGTTAATCTGTTTTTAGAAATAGAAGGCCAAACATTTCTCAATATTGTAGGAGAAAGCAGAATGTAAGAATGCATTCCTGTGAGTAAAATTCTGTAGGAAAATCTTTGGAAAAATGCTTCAATTTTATGATAAATACGTGTATAATATACAGTCAAAAGTCTTTAATCCGGACTCGTCGGGACTTCAGCGATTCCGGATTATCAGTTTAAATCTGGCAAGATGGCATGCCCAGGTGATTAAAAAGTGTAAAACCCTTTTTAATCACCTGGGCCCACCAGCGGCCAAGCGGTAAAGTCACTGAACAATGGTAGTTCGGTACGAGGTTCGAATCCTGCGAACAGGCTGGCTGCATGGGTGTTTTTTTGGTTTTCCCCATGTGTAACATGTATATGAGCCAGTTTCCCTTAGAAGGTCCTCCACGAAGGCATCCCTCCCCTTAGACAGATAGCCCTCGAGGCTTTGCCGTAATTAAATAACCTAACCTAACCTAACCTTTTTAATCACCAAAATGCACAATGTATTTCTGCTTCAAAGAAAAGATACAAAATTAAGTTTTGTTCACATGGCTGGCTGGCCTAGTTAGAAATAAATATATAATCTTTTTTTTTCTTCTTTTCTTTAAAAAACCAAAATTCTACAAGATATCTTTTTTTTTTTTTTTTTTACCAAAAAAAAATGCATAATTTATTTATATTCAACTAAAAATAGTTTAGACTAGAGCATATAGCATAAGAGAGCTATTTATTGCAAGCATGTGAGAGCTGCAATTGTTAAGGGCTTTTTAAGGGAAATCGACTTTTCACAAAACACCTATGATGCAGTCAGCCCTTTCACCTATGTTCTAACTTAAATCAAGCTTTCAGTATTCAGTACATGTTTCATCATCCGGCTGTTAGCAAGGTTAGCTACATGAAACCAATTGAAAAATTTTATTCGCATACAGTACTAAACTCAACACCTGCAATTAGAGAATTCCAGTCTTACTATGTTTCTTGTGCTCTGTAGTTAGCTTATTTTATAGCAGGTAATATCGATAATGGAAAAATTTAAATGTAAATTGCACTTTTAAATTTTCTTTTGCACCATTACAGTGTGAGCCCAGTATATGAACCGAAACAGATAATAGTTATAGATGTCCATGGAATCCTGACTCGTAAACAGTGGAAAAGAAGTTTTTTTCATCAAAGGTAGCATATATAATACGTGGAATGACCATGCACATTGCCTTTCATTCTTATCGTCTCTGCTCTTAATTTCTATGCATATCCTGTTCTTTCTTCTATTTGTTTTACATTACCGCTTCTTTTCAACATTCACCTTATTTGAAAATACTTGATCTATTTTTAAAAATAAAGGCCAAAATTCTCATTGTAGGAGAAAGCAGAATGTAAGAATGCATTTGTGAGTAAAATTCTGTAGGAAATCTTTGGAAAATGCTCAATTATGATAAATACGTGTATAATATACAGTCAAAAGTCGTTTAATCACTCGTCGGGACTTCAGCGATTCGGATATCAGTTAAATCTGGCAAGATGGCATGCAGAAATTATAAAATTAGAAATATGAAACCGTAATTTATGAAATAAAGAGCAATTATGATCTAAAGGGTATCAAAATTTACAAAAAAAAAAGCTAATATTTATTTGTTACTTATTAAACATTCTTTCAACGCGCACATGCGTAAAGCATACATACGCCATTACAGCTCAGAAGACGATTCAAGTGATGAGGAAGATTTCCGAGTGTTCGACAGGGTGTAAAATTGATTCAAGTCTCACGCTCAGCCGATTTAGTTTTACTGGCGATGTGGGCATGAAGCTTGCATGATAATATTTCTGATCCACGAGAGTACTTTCGAGTGTTTTAGGTAATTACTGTATTAAATGCTTCATAAAGTTTACATAGTAGTATTTATTTAGTCCTTTCAATTTAATATTGTCTTTATTTTAATTAACTATTATTATTTATATAATTGATTATAATCATTTATAATTTACTATTTAATAATTATTATTTATTAATTATTTTAAAGTATGCAAAAACTGTTATTTGTGTACTACAAATACTTTAAGAAATTTTTAAAACGCGTGAGGCCAGCTATCTACGGCATCACCAGAGAAGGGTGACACTTTCGAAATAACGGCGGGGTAAAACAGCTACCATTTTCGACTACTGTTTACTCGTAATGCTGTGCGAATTAAGTAAACGAAAACTGCTAATTTCCCTAACCGTCAAAGGGTTAACTAATGAATTTAAAAATAAATGGCAATCATTACCTAATTTAACATAGCTCATCAATACTTAGTCGTCAATAACGCCCACTAGCAGCTGAACAGGAATGTCGCTGAAAACTAGTAGTTCGACCTGCACTTGAGTTTTTCCCTTGTGTAATGTGAATACAAGCCAGTTTCCTTTAAAAAGTCCTCTACGAAGGCATCCCTTCCCATACAATGATAGCCCTCCTTTGTTTTAATCAATTAACCGCAGTCGTAAATAACAAATTGTTTTCCGAAAGTTCTCCATAAAAGTTAATGTTGTCAATTTATCTTTATCTAATTGTGTCATTTCAAAACTTGATCCAGACAAAGAAATGGAAATTTTTATTTCCTTTTGCAAAATTTTTTGCATCACCCAGATCACCATCATATTTTTTCCACCTTCGTATAATGATTGCAATGATTTTATAAAAAGCTATTTACATTTATCTTCTACTAACAATTATTTTTCATAAATGTTTAGTCTTATCCGCTGAGAATTTTATGTCCCAACCATTTCGAAATTTGGAAATAAGCGCATCTTCATACCAGTAAAATATTCATAATCAAATATTATTAGGACCCTTTTCATTAGATAACACTTTTAGTAAAAACGGAAGGATTTTGATTAGGATAAAAAAAAAATGTATCATATAATTTCATGTACTTTCAGTACTTTATTTTACCAATGCCCAAAAGCGATTTAATCTCTTACGATATTAATCGCGAATGATTTTCATATCATGCCAAGAAAATTTCTTAGTAGTTCTTTTTAGATGGGAAATCAGAAGAGTAAAATGAATTTTTCTTTAAGGAAATGCATCTTGTCCTCATATTTCAATGTATAAAAATAAAACGCTCATACTTCACATTTACACAACTAAATGACTTTTGATACAAACATATAAATGATACATCAATTTAAAATGGAGTTATATGATTTGAACTCTTTCAAAAATATCATTTTTATTTCAGAACAATTAATGAAAATATGTATTGAAGTAACTGGTTTTGTGAACTGTTCTGGTAGTTGAAAAAATACAGCATTTTAAATCAATGTGCACAGCTAAAAATAAAAAATATCTCAAATCTGGTTTCTCAGCATTGTAAGATACCTGTTTAAGTATTTATTCCATGCTAAAAGAAATTATTTGTAAATTAGGTGATATTAATTTCTTTAAAAGTAATTCATGGGTTCAGTGCAAATTGCATTTTATTTTATAGAAGAAATTTTGTTTCACAAACTTTTTGCATACACAAAGCTTTCGGTCGAAGGCTTCTTAGTATTTTTCGGTTTCGGCACGAAAATCGCCTACAGGTCGGCAGATAGTGTGGCTGGATACGAGGTTTTTATTTATGACCCTCGCGCTGTAACATCGTTCTTAATGATCACTGTTTCCCCACTACCAATTATTAAGCACAACAGAAGGTCGGGGGGCGACAATACAGAATATTCGTCCTCAGCGATTTTGAGGAGAAAAATCTTAGGCCAAAAAAAATTGCAAGACACAATTTCGGATCCATCAAGAGATGACAGAATATTCCATGTGTAAAGATTTGGAAAGCCATCTTTCAATAAAGAAAAATCTGTAGGTAGGTTAAAACAACACTTTTCTTTAGAAAGGTGGTTCCCCCCCCCCGGTGGACTCTTCCAATAAACATTGAACTTACTTGTTTATTCTTATATAACCACCAGAGATCATAGGACAATTTATACTCTGAACGTTTTTCTCGCAAATATCTTCCTACGTGAATTGGAGGCGGCATCAGACCAAACTCGTGCTCTTCGGGATTATACTCCTTTACCTCTCTTGACTTTGATTTTTTACTACTTTTCTTGCAACTTGTACTAGAAAAGAAAGTATTAATAAGTACATTACTTTGAAGCATGAATACAAAAAAGCATAAAATTAACTAAAATTGAAATTTCAGGTTCTGAAATTAAACTGATATCAGAACTTGAATGAGCATTTATATATTAACCCATCCAACCATTAAACTGTCACTAGTAGTAGTATTTAGCATCAATTATGGAGAAGCATGATGTAGCAACATATAACATGTGCACTTTTGCTTGGAATAACAATAACATTGTTAATTCAATATCAAAGCAATGTTAACATATAACATTGCTTTGATAGATTCTCGATAAGCCATCTTTCGTTTTTGTAAATTAACTGTTATCATTGTATTTTTGTTGCATTTGGGGGGGGGTATTAATAAAATTTGAAACCAGACTTCTACAGAGCAGCAAATAGTAGATTATTTTCGAAGTTATGGGATTCAATGATAAATAAAAGGTGTATTAATGGACATGATATGGTCAGCTGAATATGGCTGACAAAACAGAAATAAACTGGAACTATTATTTGCACGAATTCTGTACTCGCAGTATTCAAAATAGAGCTTCTGGTGAAATAGGAGGGCCTAACAAAATATTAGAAGTCAACAAAAGCCTTTTTACAAAGTGAAAAAACAAAGCAGCTCAAATACTGATTTCACCGTTTATTAAAGAAAAAGACACAACAGTTTCATAAGAATTCTCCACAGGAGCGACTGGCAGAGCTTTAGCAAGAACTAAATAAACTTTGATGGTTCAAAGATTCCAGTGACAGGATGATCAGGGTTTGTAGCCACATTTTAGTTAATAAAATAAGCACCTATAAGCCCTTTTCAAGCACATTTTAAGAAAAAAAATAAGCACCTGTCTAATTACATTATACACAACTGCATAACCTTAAAAGAAAAATTAGACCTTGCAATTTAAAATATGAGCAGTGCAATATTTATTAAGAGAAATGAGCATTACCTCAACCATGAAAAACAATTAACTTTTTTTTTAATTTTAAATGACAGTTCAATTTACAGAATTAGTTACAATGAGAGAAAAAAAACTATGCAGAACTAAACTATATTACAAGATTTAATGATGAAATTTCAGTTCAAAATATAGAAAATAAAATAATAATAAGCCATATTAATTGTATTCACTTGGCACCTAATAATAAATACAATTTATTTTTCCACTCATATTAATATTTAAATAATTTAACTTAAATCAAAATTATGAACATGTTCTAAATTTTCATTGCATAACAGTTTTCCCTTAACGTATATTCCAAGCAAAGTAATTTAAGTAAAAAAGAGGAACAATTCTGAAATCAGGAGACGGGAAATTGCTTCATACAGTCATCCTTTAAAAGTTTAAAACTTTACTAACCTGCATACTCGGAAATTGCCGAATATTCCGGATAGTCGAACGCAACTGGAAAAAGAGGAGAGGGGGAAGATTGTAGCCGTTCTTTAGATTTCTCAGCTAAATAAATGATTTGACATTTCAATATGTGCATCATATAAAAATAAACCAACGGAACTGAGAAATATTCTGCTTAGAAAGCACAGTAAAACTCTTTTAAGTGTTCATAAATAAATCTCAGACTGAACATCAAAAGTAATTATCTCTGAAAAATACCACAAACGTTATTGCACAATATGTGCAGCGTAATTCTTCCATATGTAATATTACACATTGGGAATCCGAATAAAGAACTACATAAAGGAAAAGAAAGAGACTTACTAATCTGGGGAGTTTTTGATTTTAATTTTGAACAGACTGCGTTAAATTTCCGGAATAGAATAATTTTTCGCTTGGGTTGGGTAGACCGCAAAAATTTTAATCCTATTCAATCCAGATTGGACAATGATGAAAAAAAAAAAGTCTGCTGCTTCAATATTAGAGATTTTGTGGAGAAAGGGGAGAACATCCCAACCTAATCACTTTATAATGTATTGGAGGAAAAAAAAAAAAAAAAGAGAGAAAAAAAGAAATTATTTTGATACTTCCTTTTATTAAACCCTCGATATTATTCCTCAGAAGCAATCTGGGTAACCACACCATTTTCTGAAGTTCTACCTACGCATTTTTTTTTTTTTTTTTTTTTTTTTTTTTTTTTTTTTGTTTTTTTTTTTTTGCAACTATTTATTATAAAATTCATACTATCTCATAATATAGCATACGCATAAAACCTGATATGAACCGACAAGCGAATGAAATGCAAATATTAAATTGTAGAAATTCAAACATGTGTAGTATTGGGTGGGAGGAAAAATATCGAATGTCCGGATTTTCTACGATTCGCAATTTTGACCATAGAACGAAGTGCACCGTCTGTCCTCTTGCGTGCACCATAGGTTATGTTAATGCAGAGAAAGGGGGAAAAGCTATTTCCGGGAGGCATATTTCACAAGTGCACATCTGTGTAGCCACTGAGGGAGTGGCTTCTAGGATGGACCAATGAGTATCCAGTAATAGTTCTGTCATGTCACATGCCCTTTCGTGTGCTTTAATATGGATGAAAACATTTTGCCACGCCATTTCCTGTACAAAATAATTAAAGCATCGTCGATTTCTTCTGCAAATTTTAAGCAGTTGTGAAGATTTCACTACCTGAAGATTGAAGATTTCACTGGTTGAAAGAATTTGAAAATAAATGTTGGACACCCCGCAAAAATATCCATGTGAAGTATTACTAATAAGTGGTAAATAACATGAAGAAATAAATATGCCATAAACATCTGAGCCCAAGTGCTATCTTTACATAAAACTATGTATAGGAGAAAAATATTTGCATCATTTGTATATTATGTAAATAGAAGTCAGCTCTTTTTATTGCAGTCTATATGAAAAAGATGTTCTATAATAATAGCCAATGCAGAATTTTATTTTGAATTGGTTATAAATTGCAAATTAATTAAAATGCAAATTAGTAAAGTTTACTTATTGCGAATGCAATAAGTAAACTTTACTAATTTGCATTCGTATATAATTAGTAAGTTAAATTTCAAATTTAATAACTGCTCACTCTTAAATGTACTGTCTACACAAGCAGTGCTCATCAAACAGAATGAATTTATCTTATTCACAAAGAATATATTTAATTTATTCAGATATAACATTTAATACTAACAATAGATATAATCGTGTTATACACAATATGTATTCTTCATCTTACACTTTCAAAATCAAAAGAATGCAAGCACTGAAATAAGAAAACACTAGATTCATTGTTAACACTTCCAGTCCTTCTCAGCTCAATTAAAAAAAAAAAAAAAACTATACACTTGAATTCTCTTAATCCACAGCTGTTAGTAAATGCATAATATTCGAGGCTAATTGTAGCTTGAGTCATTTTCTGGATTTAAAGAACAATAATACGCCGTGAACATCAAACCAAATACTAATGCGTGATAAAAATCGCGAAAGTGAAATGCCAGCGAATAATTAAAATCATAAAACAAAAGCACTACGAAATTTACGCCATACGAAATTTACGCAAATTAAAACATAAATGCTCACATGCACAAAGATTTAGCGTCACAAGAGTAATAGAAGCTCACTGGTCCATTTTCAAAACCACTCCCTCGGTGGCTACGCTGATGTGCACTTGTGAAATATGCTTCCAGGTGTATGATTCACCATCTGACGTTATAAGGAAGAAAAGTTGTTTATTTAATTTCGGCTTTGATACGGGGGAAAAAGGTGCATTCGTTAAAAAAGCACTAAAAACAAAAAAATGGGGCTTTAAAGAAAAAGTAAGGACCCATAAGGGCCTTTATATTTTATTTTCAAATATCAGGACTTATAAGCACTTGTAAGGACAGATACGAACCCTGATGATACATATTAACTTTCTTGACTGACAGGATAATACATAAGTAGTTCTGGATGAAAATACAAGTTCTGATATGAATTCAGATTCAGATTCTTCATAAAACTAATGAAAGTAAGGTTTACATCAGTCAAAACTTATATTAAGAACAGTATTAAGACAAACAGTTGATATCCATTTACTTTATTTCCTCAATAGTTCCTTCACCTTTGCATGTTTTTGGTTCCAAACCACGACAAAAAATGAAAGATGTTTCCTATCTTCTTCCCCCCCTTCTTTTATCTTTTTTTATGTGTATTCAGTTTCTGCCTCAATTTTTAATTTTAAAAATGAAATTTTGAGAAATTATTTTTTAAAAGATGATTTCTGAATTTTTCCCTTGCAAAAATTCTTATTAACTATTCCTTACTTACTTCTGCAAGTTGAAAATACAAAAAACACTTCAGTTACTAACATTAAATTCAATTACACATTTTAAAGCTGATCTTCGATTTGTGTTATGATTACAAAATTTTTAAAATGTGATATAATACAATAATTCATAAATATTTCATGAAAAAAGTTTTTAAGATGAACATATCTTATTTTTTATTAATAACAATGCAAAATTTCTGGATTATTTTTAAGGTCAAGATCTTAATTTATAACAAATTACAAAAATTAATTTATTAAAAATTCAAAAAAATTAGCCATAATACCAAATGCTAATACCCAAAAGGCATACTGGGGTATAAGGCACACAATCAAAGGCCCGAGTCAGTTTCCTGATCTCCAAGAAACTTAGTTTTTAATATGGTTAAAGCTTATGCAGTATAAAGTCCGAAATCCGGACTCGTCGGGACATCCACAATTCTAGATTTGGGATTTTTCCAGATATTAGATCATCAGTTTGAATCTTGTAAGACGGCATAGAGAAATTATAAAAATGTGAAATCGTGATTTATGAAATAATAAAGCATTTATGATCTAAAGGGTATCAAAATTTACAAAAAAAAGTTTAATATTTATTTGCTTACTTTATTAAACATTTCTTTCAATGCAAGTTGCTTATTCTCTTTAATTTTGTAGGAAGACATAATTTATTGTATAGTTACGTTGTTGAAGTCCTGTAATTGTTGTGTTGAGAATTCCGACAAACTTGTGAATCAAAATTTTTCATTTTCAGCAACCTCTCTGTCACTTTCTTCACTATCGATAGCGATATTTTCTGGATCTAGAACCATACTACAGATTTCACCATCCATTAACTGACTGATGATTGAGCAGCATTGTCATCATAAAGAAAAACCTTTTTTATATCATCTTAATTTATTACCGCTTCTCCACATTTCTTCACAAAATCCATTAATTGGAAAATTTCACCTTTGGTTAGCGATCTCCAAAAACCTTTGAAGTTCACGGCTATCATCATAAAATTTAGCTATTGTTCACTATACAACTATACATATTTGGCTATGTATCGCAAGATTGGCGACTAACGACAAATTGTTCCGCTAAATTTTATCTTGCTTCTATCACCCAATGAGACAATTATGCCTGAATTGTCTTATGTCTATTTCTTGCATATGCTTATGTCTTATCTGAGTCCTGAAAAATAAATTCCCACATATATTTAAGGCTGATTGAGGGCTAGCACTAGATATCTTACCGCCTGATGCAAGTATATCACATTAACATGCATAAACCATATTACAAAAGACCAGAAATGATTAATATGATAACTGAAGTGGAAGGAGACTTAGAAATGACATACCTCATTTACCTTCCAATCCAAATATATTAAATTTCTTGGGCATCATAGAGGAGAATGAACTCGAGAAAAGGTTGAAATCCGAGCAAATAGAAGATTTACGAAAGATTTTATGGAAATATTCTGGTTGTTTTTCAAATAATCCTGGACTAACAAACTTAGTTTGTCACGATATTGAGCTATTAAATAACGAACCAATACAAATAAAGCCATACAGACTGTCACCCCGACAGACTGAAATTCTCAAAAAAAAATACAGAAAATGCTCGATCTTAAAATTATAGAGCCGGGAGAATCGGACTATACATCTCCCATGATTTTGATAGAATCTTCATCAAAGGATCCTCGGCCTTGTATTGATTATCGTAAACTCAATGCTGTTACTAAAACTGAATACTATCCTTTGCCTAATATTGAAGAACGTATCGAAACTGTAGCAAAAGCAAAATATATTACCCTATTAGATTTATCTAGAGGCTACTGGCAAATTCCGTTAACAGAAAGAGCCCAAAGATATGCAACATTTGTAACTAGTTTTGGAAGTTTCAGGCCTCTACGTTTACCCTTTGGATTAAAAAATGCCCCATATTTTTTTAGCAAAGTTATGACTAAAGTCCTGGCTGGATGCGAAGGTTTCGCTGTACCATACCTGGATGACATTGCCATTTACTCAGAAAACTGGGAAGAGCACCTTAAAAACTTAACTTCTGTTCTAGAGAGAATACAGAAAGCAAATTTACGACTAAAACCATCAAAATGTAAATTTGCACAAGATCAAGTGAGATACCTAGGCCATGTTGTGGGACAAGGACAACGAACCCCGGATGAAGTAAAGATCCTGGCTGTAAAGGAGTATCCTACACCTAAAACCAAAACAGAAGTACGTGCTTTCTTAGGACTGGTAGGGTATTATCGCCAGTACATACCGAGATTTTCGGAAATTGCTTCACCCCTCACGGACGCTTTGAAGGGTAAGGAAATAACAATGGTCTGAAAAAAGCTTTTAAAAATTTTAAAAGAGTTGCTATGCAAGAAACCAATTCTGTATGCTCCCGACTTTTGATAAAAGGTTTATTATACAAACCGATGCCTCAGACAATGGCATGGGTATAGTACTATGCCAATTAGATGATGAACAACGTGAACATCCTATCTTGTATATAAGCAAAAAATTTACTAAGTTTGAAAAGAATTATTGTACTACTGAAAAGGAGTGCGCTGCTATCATCTACGCTATCAAGAAACTGCATTTTTATCTGGATGGTCAGCAAGAATTCTTGATTCAAACTGATCATAATCCTTTGGTCTGGCTACAATCCAACGCCAAATGTAACTCTAGATTGATGCGCTGGGCACTCTCATTACAACCTTATAATTTTAAGGTCATTCATCGCAAAGGATCTTTGCACAAGAACGTAGATGTTCTGAGTAGAATTAAGTAATAAAATATCTCTTAGTGTACATAACAAAGTTTATAATTTATTTTATTATTTATGTTCTACTGATTATTCATGTATTTTCAACTGATGTATTTGAACGTTCTCCATTTTCTTTCTATTTAAATGTGGTGTAAAAGTATTTGTTTAAAACTTCAAATTTTTGGCCTGATGTTTGGAAAATTATGAGAGAAGTTACCTTTTCTCTTTAAGTAAATGAGAAAGCCGAGCTCATAAACTTTTGACTTTTACAGAGCTTTTCCCTTCGGAAAAAGTCTCTCCGTTGGGAGGGGGGAATTGTAACAGCTTTAAATATTGTTATAAAAATCTTGTAATTTAAAATAAATAATTGAAATAAATGAACATTAAGGTATATGCTAAAGGCAGTATTTGGCACGCAGGCTCGAGAGCCATGTGTGGCTCTTGCATGAAGAATGTATTTATTTTATTTTCAAATGTTAGAATACGTTTTATTCTTCTTGTTTGCATGTTGCCCTTTTGAGTGTTAAATAAAAATTATTGCTCTATTCCATCAATGAAGTTTGCTTCAAATTGCGAAAGAAGTATCACACTACCTAACAAGCCACTTCTCATACAACCTCCTCATCTTTGAATGTTCGGGCTTATTTGTTGATGGCTCTTTAGAGAGCATGTTAGATGTTGACTCACTTCATCCACACATGCCTCAAAGAACACAATCCAAAGTATGTACAGTCAAGTATTTCTTTAAAATTTAAATTTGAAATGTATTATTTGTTTTTTTAATATTTTTATTTGTTTACTATATAATATTTACAGCTCTTATCTCACTAACATAAACATCATTAACAGATATCCTAACCATATTTGATGTGAGTAGTGGACTTAGTAATATTTTGCACACAAATTTTCATGGTACAAATGGTAATTTGGAAATTATCTCGTTCATAAGATGGGAATATGTCTGTATTAGAATCTTTAAAAAAATATTAAATGCAAACATCATAACTTAGTAACCTTAAGTGAATGTAATGAGCCAAAAATTCAAAATCACAGTAATGAAAGGTTACTGAACATAGCAATACCAGTGCATAAAAAAAAAAAATTCATAAAAGTATACATGGAACATAATCTACACTAATGATTAGTTATAACAATTAGTAAAATAACAAACTGACAGAAACTGATCACAGCAGAAAAATGCATCTTACATTATATGGTAAAAATTCATTATATACCTAAATGTTAACTAACCTGTCTTGCTTGAAGAAAGCTGAATAAAAACCAGCCCTCAGATATTTCTTCTTGGGAAAATGCACTTCCTTTCGTCGCATTTTTCTTGGATCTGATAAAGCAGCTTTTCTACCAGATGATGGTTCTGTCACTTGGATCACCTGCTGATATCTATAAGAGAGAAAACTATAAAATGTCAAACAAATTGATACTTTTCTGTTACCAGGACAAGATTCAGAAATGTATGTATATATGCACATATGTGTATGTACATACTTATATGCGTATGTACACACACATATGTACATATGTACACTGCAACAAAAAAAAGGGAGGCTATTCTATATCTCCCATTCTACTGGGCCGAGTGGCGAAATTCAAATTGTTTTTTTCACGTCTCGAAAGCGCAACTTAGGATATATATTAGATTTATATATAGAATTGTTCTAACATAGGTATTTTGAGAAAAAATCGGACTTCTGAAATTACATACCAAATTTTTTCCATATTTTGATTCTACAACTTAAAATTATGTCTGGATATTAATTTTTTTTTAATTTGGTGTGACATTTACGAAGAAATTCAAAAATTTATTTTGGTGCAATTTTTTCAGCTTACACCAAGAATAATTCACTTGGCAAACTTCTTATTATACGGAAACCAATTTTCCTTTCCCTTCTATTATGCTGGGAGCGGGGAAAAAGGCACCTCGTTCCTACCTTTTTTACATCGTGCATAAGTGGAAAAAAAAGTCACATTGCTCCTATTTTCAAATAATTTTAGCTATGTGTCTACATTTGATGTTTTCAGCAAATATGGCAAATTTCAAAATGTGCCATTATATAAATTCACGTATATCTTTGGAAATTTTGAATAAAAAACTGCAATTTTTTACAGGTATGCTTAGAAATACATCTGCTGTTGTCGTCTCCACATTGCATAGAACAATGGTTGCCAGAGCCTACTCCGAAGAGAGGTTGGACTCATTTTCCACAGCCAGTTTTGAGGGAGAGCACCCCCAGGGGGATCCGGTGATTTCCCACCCCTCTCCTCCCCCACCAATCCATACGAGAGGACGTTTGGCTCGACGCATATTTAGAGCATGCTGCCATGCAGCACCAACACTATACGTTTACAAACATCCATGTCTTACTCTGGATTCGAACCCGGGCCCTTTGGTAGTGTAGTAGGCTACCCTAACTGCTATACCTTCTGGGCGACCTGAAATATGTCTATTTTAAAATGATGGTAAAAATTTTATAGATTATAATTCAAAATGTTTTTGAAAAATTTATAAAATTTTAAAATAAATCATAAAAAAATGGGTGAATTTTATTTGGAATGAACCTGAATTTCGAAATGTGAAGGGAAGAATCAAATAAGTTTAATAAAAAAAGAGAGATTAATAAATATATACCAAACACAATTAGCATTGAGGAGGTAAAATTTTGAGAGCTAATTTTTAAAAAACTACTCGTGCGATTTTTAAAAACTTGGTAGTTTGGTGTAACTTGAGTTGTAGAATAGAAATATGAAGAAAAATTGGTATGTTATTTCAGAATATGTCTAAATACCTATATTAGAATAATACTATATAAAAGTTTAATACATAACCTAAGTTGCACTTTCGAGACATGAAAAACGCAAGTGGAATTTCGTCAATCAGCCCAGTAGAACAGGAGATATAGAACTGTCCCCCCTTTTTTTGTGTGCAGTGTACATTACATGCATGCATGCATACATTTTCGGACCCGGTCACAATAACAGAATAGTACCAACAATTTTAACATTACTTGTTTAAAAACAATGAAAGGCTAATCTTAACCCTTTCCAGACAAGTGTGTTATACATGTAGCGGCCACCAAAGTTTATCTCACAGCCGTGTGTCATATATGAATCACCATTTAAACTGACTGAGGATAGGTGTACCACATATGAATTTTTAAACAAAGTTTAATTACTATTTTTTGTTGCCACTAGATGTAATCCTATGTCTGTTATGGTACAATTTACCCAGACTAGAGAATGTTGACCTTCACTGCATTCCAGTCATTTTTATTTTTTAATTTTTCGGTATTTTGTTTCGGAATGAATGCAGAAATCGTGGGCATGAGTAATATAAATAAAAAGAGCTGGCTATTAAATGAGTAGGCTGATATAAATACTTGGGGGGGGGAGGTTCTCAATGCTTATAAATACTTTTATTTTTGGCAATATGGGCCTGCATGTCTCTTTGCTTTAGAAGTTTTATTCATTCTTCTTAGGTTACCATTGAAATGAATATTTTGTGTATTGTTTAGCAATTTTTTTTAATGGCAAGGAAAATATAATAATAAAGTTTTAAAATTCATTTTGGCTTAAGCATTCCTCTTATAAAGTGCTGAAAACTTTAACAAATGGATTACAAATTTATGCAAAATTTTTTTCCAAAGTTACGCTCAGCAGCCAAAACTGCCCGTCCCAGAAAAACAGTGTGTCCGGTTAATGCACCATTCTGAGACAGCAGTTCAGTGACCGAGACACCCATCGCAAAACAGTTAAGGAAATATTTATAATTTCTCTAAATTGGAAATTTTTTCCAAAGTTTGCAGCCCAAATTGCCCTCCCATCCTATTAACGTACTGTTCCAAGAAAGTGGTTCAGCGACTGAGGCACACATTGCAAAAGGTGTAATTTACTTTTTTATCAGTATAAGTACTTTTTTATCATTATAAAATATCAGCAATATACAGAACTGTTTCAAAATTACTGGTTGATACAGAAATACACTCCTGTCTAAAAAAAGCAGCAACAAACATAGAAATTCACTTAATTCAGTAAAACATATACCCCTGGCAGCAATATATGAGCCCAACATGCTTTAAACACAAAAAATGGAAAAACAAACAGTTTATTATAGAAGATTGAAATACTGTGATAGTCTAAATATTCAAGGAGAGGACAAACTCATAGCACCAGTATCTGCAAAAAAAGCAGGAATCCTGTATTATGATTATAATCAAACCAACTGTGCATATCGAAAGGAATTCTCAATTCCAAGTCGACCTAACAGATATGCAATCCAATCCTGATATGAAATTCATTTTAGTGTACCAAGACCATCTTATATAATAAAATTCTACTCTAAAGTTTACACAGTAAAAGAGCTGATGAAGTCACCTTCTGGATATTTTCACAGCTTTTGGAGCACTAAACATTCTTCATTTCGACAATGGGAGGGAAATTTGCAACCAAATCATAAACAGTTTATGTGAAATGCAGAGTGATATAAAAATAGTTCACAGTAAACCGAGACATAGTCGATCGCAAAGTTATGAAACCCACTTTCGGGCAAAATGTTAAAATAAAAGTACATGATATTGATAGATCAAAAACAGATCCAAAATCAGTAATGAGCTGTTATTACAGATATTTAAGATGATGAGTTTTATGCTTTTGGTACCATGTAGGGTAAATTAAAATCACACAAGAAAGCAGTTTACTTTTTGCAAAAAAAACTTTTTAAACATCGAAGAAGTTGATACAGAAGAAATAGATATATGTGAAGTAGTAAGAAAACTTTAGTTCGGGGACAAGGACTCAGAAAATGCATGTGTTTGTGCAAATCAGCTGATATATTTTCTAATTCAAAATGCCATAACAATGAAACTAGTTGTAATAGGTAATAAGAAGTATTACAGTAGTATTCTTACTTTTTTAATATAATTTTTGTTTTTTTCTGAACTATCAATTTAATTATTTTAACTATTCCCAAACTTTTGAAAATTATTGAAATCTCTTCACGAGTTAAACAGAGAACTGTGCATTAGTTAAGCTTTTTCACATGAGATCTTATTTGTGAAATGGCATAGATATGGCTTTTTCTTTTTTTTATTTCTTGTTACTCTTCGAAAAATAACTGCAAGACGGTTCCATTGACATATCTTAAATATACCTTATTTTGATCACTTTTGCAATTTATATTATCAATTAAAAAATTAATGTGTGTTTTAATCTTTTTGGGACACACTGCATAAAATATATCTGCAAATGCAAAATCCTATCATGCTAGACCCTCGTTTCGGGCTTTTACCAGAAGGTGTTGGTAATTCCTAGGTTTTACCACAAAGGGGCCAAAATGGAATCATATTAAAGCATACTTTGGACTTTTACCAAGCCACTTTGGTAAAAGCTAGGTTTTACCAGACTTCGGGTTTTTACCATAACATATGAATTTTATTTTTTTAATGTATCATGTAATCCTTTTCAATAATTAAAATTTGCATTTTAAATTGCTAAAGCTATATATGTTTTCCTTTTTATATTCTGATAATGTTTGCTGACTTTAAATATCGATAGTTTAAAAATCCTTTTTTAAAAAAGAAGTGAAAACCACCAATTTGCACTCGATAAGTAACTTTTATGTTTTCATCTGTAAAAAACTGCCAAACTACACTAAGATGCATTAATGCAAGTACCAAAACTTCTGATCTGCAATTAATACATATTTTAAAACATCTTAAAGAAAGAATTACACTTACTTTGGTTCTAAAAGTTCCTCATCTTCTTCAGAAACTTTTGGTTTTTTAGGTACAGTACATTCTTCGATGTCATTCTCATCATTTCCACTTGTGAGATCCAAAACCTCAATTTCACATTTCTGAGCAACATTTTTCCTTTTTCTACGAGATCTTGATATTTCCGGTTCAACTGATGCTTTAACGACACTTTCAATTGCATCTAAAACAGTATCTTCAGTTGTTAAATCAATAACTTCTCCATCTGCATGAGTACTGTTTTGAGATACCTCAATGACTTCATTATTCGTAGGCCTTGTTTTCTTCCTCTTCACCTTAACAAATCCTGTTTTATTGAATCGGCGTTTTTTCTTTTGCCCATTAATAACGACTTCTGGTTGCTCTTCTTTAGATGGTTTCTTAGCTTGTATGCATGCTTCTTTCAGAAGACGTTTTCGCTTTTGTCTGTATTCTAAAGCTGCAGCAGAAATTTTTGTTCCTTTCTGAAGGATTTGGCCATTTTTCCTACTTTTTAGTTTAGCTAACGATGCTAGAGGTAAATCTTCTCCTTCACTGTCATGCATCCTTGATGTAGATTCAGAAGATGACTTTTCTTTTGAACATGGTGTGAAATTTTTAATGCAGTTATCAATAGTTTCATCAATTGATTCGGATGAAGGCTGTACTTTATTCTTTTTACCTTTAAGTTTTGCAGAAGTTGCTGGCACAGTCTTCTCATTAGCTACCTCATCCATCATCATATGCTTACGAATACACTCCTCAATAGTTTCATCAAAAGAATTTGTCAAACTGAAATTTCTTTTTCCTTGTACTGGTTTGACATCAATAGTTGCTGGTTTTGTGCTTTGTACTTGACTAGATGCCATGTGGCATCTTCGTTTTTTTAGAGGAAGACAATTTTCACTAACTGAATTTTTAGATTTCTGATTTGGCAACATTTTTGGTGTATCATTGGGCAATTTTGCTTTTATTAATCTTTTTGGCTTTTTCTTCATAGTTAGCGATTTTGCTTTTGGCACTTTAGTGTTTTTAACAGAACTAGATACACTACGTGAACTCTTATCATTTTTAGTTTTTATGTACCTTTTCAATTCAAAAATGGAAGGGATCAAAGAGTTTCCATTTTTAAGTTTCACATTCCTTTTAGAAATATAACATGTTTTTAATAATTTAGCTAATTCTTCCAACTCAGCAATAAAGTTTGGATCCTCTGTATATTTAGCTTTAACACCCTTTTTCTTCTTCAAGTGCTTAATTTCAAGGGATGAATGTCGATCCAAACCACTAGAACCACAGGCATCAGAATAACTATCAGGTGCTCGATATTCTTCGTTGACAGAAAGAGATGCTAAGACATCATCTTTTTCTATTCCTTTATCGAGAATATCAAATCCACTATTTCCAGAGTTATCCAAAATAACTGACTGACTAACTGCTTTCTCTAAATCTTCAGGCATTAGCTTCTGGGAAGAAATTTTACCCTCTTTCCCATGTTTCGATCTCTGTTTGCAAGAAAGCTTATGATCAGTTTTTCTGACACCAAAGTTTTCTTTTTCTTCATCTACTTTTGATTTATCTTTTTTGGCAGCTCTAGAGCATAGACGATTAGCATTATCCTCATTGCTTTGAAATTCATCCTTTGATTCTAGCGCTGATGCATTCTTGTCTTCCAAATCACTTCCACTTTTTACCATATCATCAGAATTAGTCGCATCTTCATTGTTCATACTGTATTTCTTTCTGTTCTTATTCCTGTTCAAAAATCTTTCTTTCTTACTTTTTCTAGTAGAATGTTTTTGCTTTTTATTTATTTTAGAATTATTTTTCACAGTGTCAATACTGGTGTTAGACACCATTTTCTTTGGCATCTTATTTACATCTGCCATACATTTTGAATTTACAACTTTAGTATTGCATTTTTCAACTTCTGATGAAAATGATTCATTTAAATGGCTTATAGGTTTTGAAGACTTCTCTACAGCTTTACTATTAACAGACTGTAAATAAACAGAATCCTTTTTCTTGGATAAAGCTAATTTTCTCTTCCCTGTTTTTTTACTTTTGAATTTTTCTTGAACTTTCTCCAGTTCATTATCTGATGATAAAATTGGATGTGATTCTAGACAATCATTTACAATAGAAGATATTTTTCGTTTTGTAGGTTTATCAACAAAAGTAGACAAAGGCAAAGATTCTTGATCGCTGCCTTCAAAACAGACTTGAGATTTTGAATCACTATCAAAATCTGGTTTTGAAGAATGCCTAGTTTCCTGTACACTATCACTTTTTGACTTAACTGATAATTTTTCAGTATGTTCTGTATTATCTAAAGAATTAGTAACTGATTTTTTTATTTCAGTGTTTGAATTCTCAGCCTGCTTCTTGGATAAAAAATCAAGTTTTTCAATATCCTCTTCACAAATTTTAACAGTCTTTTTAGGCGATTTCTTTTTTGTAAAGTTCTTTTTAACTGCATCTGAAGATAACATCTCTTCTTTACTAGAATCTAAACTATGATTCTCGGCATGTTTCTGAGATCCATCCAACTGTTTCCGAGATAACTTACATTTATCTGAAACACCTACATTAACAACTTCTTCTATAACTGCATCAATATTGTCGTAATCCAGATTTTTATGAAAATCTTTCTTACGCTTGTTACGAGACTTAGATGGCTTCTCAAATTCTTCTACTGGAGTGGTCAGATTTTCTAAATGCTTCGAATTTGTAGTATTGAATATTTCAGATTTATCAATATTTTGAGCCTGTGATTTTTTAGTCCTATTTTTTCGTTTGTCATTACATTCAGAATCTTTGTTTTCAGAATCAACTGATATATGATCACAAGAATTTAGCAAAGATTTATTGCTGCTCGGTAAAGTAAAATCAATTTTAACATTATTTTCACAAACATCACTTGTTATTGGTAGTGATTTACTGTGTTCTGATACTATTGAAGCAGTACTTTTTCTACTTTTTCTCCCTCTAGTGCTTTTATTCCTTTTTATTGGTGAAGATGAAACTATTGTTCCAGACTTATTTTCTAACTCACTCTGACCTGAATTTTGATGAGACAACTTTAATGGTAAGTCCAAATCCATTGGTTTACCATTAATACGAGGATTACTATCTTCTTTTACAATGGCAGAATTAATCTGATCATTTTCTTTATCAACTGAAGCTATCTCAGATGCAGCTAATTCAGGTAGCACAGTTTTCAAACTAAGAGTTTCTATGCTGCTAGTTAGTGCCTCGCATTTTGCTAACACAACTTCATCATCTAGTTTGTCACTTTTTTGTTCATTTGTGCTTTCATGGTCTAACTTTTTATCAGATTCATTATCCTTAATAGGAACAATTTCCATACATTTTACACCTTCTGAGGCTGAATTAATTTCTTCACTTTCATCTTGCACTGTTTGTTTTGCCTTTTTAATGCTACCTTTTGATTTAGCCAAGCTTGAATTTTTCTTTCTCCTAGAATTCTTCCTAGTCACAACTGTATTTACTGGAGTTGAATTAGTAGGAACAGTAGATATTTCAAGAGATGACAATAATTCACTCACAGTAAAATCAACTTGGGAAGGTTTACTTTGATCTTTATTTTCAGGAACAACTACATCAGCAGCTAGTTGATGATCATTAGAATTGTCAGTACTAGTTTCTAAGGCTTTTAAAACATTTAATGCAGGCAATGTATTAATGGAAGGTGATTTTTCTGATCTGTTTTTATTATTATCACTTACATCAGGTTCATATTCAGAATTAAAAGTATCTTTATTGCTTATGTTATTTAATTTAGTATCTTTTAAATCAAATAAAGGTGCTTCATTACATATTTCAATTGCAGCAGGGACCACAGTATCTTCTGTTATACTATTATTTGCTAATTTAGAAGTCCTGGCTTTGGCTCGAGATTTACCTCTTTTCAGAGATTTCTTTCTAGTTGACTTAGAAACTACAGAATTTTGGCAAGTTATCTCATGATCTGTTGACATTTCCACAGCCTCTTGGTTTGATACTTCGCAAGACAATGAAGGAACACTAGTTGATATTTGGTTAACTATTTCATTTTCAGCTTTATCTGATGTTACTGGATCTTTAAACACTTGCTCAGGTTCTTTGGAATGTTCAGGAACTAAAGGTTCAAACACCTCATTAATAGGTAACTTGTTAAAAGCAGGAGGATTTGAGTCTGTATTCTGCAAATCAACATCATCAGCCACTTTTACAGGTTTCTCATCGCTGCCTATCAAAGGTATTACGTTTTTGTTACATAAATCTGTATCTGAATGTGGCAATTCATCTGAAGAAAATTTGTTAATATTTTCTGAGTATGCTGAGCTGTTTATAGTGTTTTTATCACTTAAGGGTATAGAAAGAGTTTCAGATTCATTTTCAATACATGAAATATTAATACCTTTAGACTGATCACTCGATTTGCTAGTTTTTTCATTGCTTTGAATATGATGTCCAGTCATATCATTTGATGTCCTATCATCTAGAAATATATCAATGTTGTCATCGTTTGAGAGTTTATCACAGAAACTATCACCAGTAGTGTCACAAGTCAAAGCTGTAACTGGTATGCTGTTAACATCAACATCACTTAGTTCATCAGATTCCACACCCTGAAACTGAGAGCTTATAGAATCTTGCACACTTTGAACAAGAAGTTGCAGCTCATTGTCAGCTTTTGAGTTTGTGTCAGTTTGGCGTTTAGAAGATTTAGTCCTTTTACGTTTAGTTTCAGATGATGGCAATGGTAATAACTGAGGTGATGTATGGACTGAAAAAACGGATGATTGTGATTTTTCATTTCCCATTGACTGATCACTAAAAATGAGATGAAGGGAACTTTGATTAAAAGAATCTGAGTTGGACACTTTGTTATCACAAGACAAACTTGTAGTGGTGGGGCTCAAGGAAAGCCGATTTATTTTATTTGGGTCATCGGAAGATTCTAAAATTTCTGGCTGCAAAACTTCCCTATCAGAAGGAAAGTTTATTTGCTTGTAGTCAGAAAATAAAGAATCAACTTCTGCTTTAACTGTACTTTTGCGTTCAAACCAATAACTTCCTTCAGAAGGAAAGTTTATTTGCTTGTAGTCAGAAAATAAAGAATCAACTTCTGCTTTAACTGTACTTTTGCATTTCAAACCAATAACTTCCCTATCAGAAGGAAAGTTTATTTGCTTGTAGTCAGAAAATAAAGAATCAACTTCTGCTTTAACTGTACTTTTGCATTTCAAACCAATATTTTCTTGCACAAGAAGAGGGGCTGAATCTTCATCTACAGAGCATTTTGGTTTTCCAACAACAGGTTGAGGATCAACACTGCCTTGAGTCCAAAGAGGTTCAAGAGGTGTTAAAACAGGTGGAGAAGGTGTAGGAGAAACATGTTTAGAATGCTGATCCCCAATTTTATTTAAAGCAGCATTTGCTGCATCAGCTCTTTCAAATGATTCGTTAAAACTAGTATTCACTAACACTTGATTATCATTCCTAGTAGATAATTCACATTCCATTCGCGTTGGTGAATCACCAGAAGACTGAATTCCACTATCTGGAGAAACATTAGATAAAGTTACTGGCAAGACATCTAAATCGAGACTAGCAGCAGGAAGAATTATGCTTTCTTTCATTATGGAAGGTATTTGTTCCACACAAGAGAAACCAAATTCACAATCTGCACTATTTTGATTTTTACAATTAACATTATTTACACTCAAATGTTTATCAGTCTCTGAATTCAAAAGCCCTATTTTAGTGGATACATTGATGTTGCACTCAACTTCTGCATTTGTTACACTCAATATCTGCATTTGCAAATCTGTACTACCTTGATTTTTGAAGTTATCTTCAATAATGGCACAGTGTTTTTCTTCCACTTTTCTCCACATGCTGAAACATTCCTGGCTGCTGCCATCTTTATCTTCCATTGCAAAACCATTGTCCTCTGATGTTGTGTTTGAAAAATATTCAATATCACTGACTTGCAGTTTTTTGTTTCGAGCACATTCACCCCCAAGTCTTTTGCTTTTTTTACACTCTGATTTTTCAGATGAAATTCTTGCATCCCGTCTAGAAGAATTTGTACCATCATGTGATGGTTTATATTGCAGTGTACATGTAGCTTGGCACTTTGTAGAAGCTTTCCGTCTGAGTTTTTTCCGACTTCTACACGTACCATAATTTGATGCACTGCAACAACTCTCACTTTCTGAACCAGATGAACTACCACTTGAGCTACTGCTGCTACTTGAGCTACCTGAACTACTGCTGGAACCACTTGAACTACTCCCACTGCTGCTACTGCAGCCACTGCTACTCCCGCTACTGCTGCCACTACTGCTACTTCCAGAGGAACCACTAGAACTGCCACTGGAACTTGAAGAACTTGAGCTGCCACTAGTACTACACCGTCGAGATGTGCGTAGAGTCTTGCAATTTGTATATTGCCCATTGCATGGTACTCTGGCATCCTTCGTCTGCAGACAACCCTTCTGAAAATAAAGTAGATTCAAATTCAAAATTTCCAAACTACTCTGCAACAAATAATTTTTATAAACATTTGTATAAAGTCACAAGATAAAATCTTTTGGGTATACTCTTTGATTAGTTGCTTAACCCTGAGAAGAATCACCAGGTAATGCACTATGATGGCAACCTAAAATTCCCCAAAAATGTATTTATCTGGCAAAACATGAACAAATGCAAAATGTAGCTTTTGAAATTCCACCGTCATCTTTTGTGGCTGCTGTTTATCGACTGTTCTTAAGTGATTGTGATAATACTTCTTTCTGAATTACGCATTTCTCTGATTTTAGTTAAAACAGGTTGATGTGCTCGTGGGAGAAGCGCCAAGGGGGGTAAGTATTTTATTAGAGATAATTTTTGCATTTTTTATTTAGTTGATATGTTGCTGTTTTATATGTAATTTTTAGGTTTTCATCATATTCTTGCATTTTTAATTTCGTTAATTTGCTACTATTTTATGCAGTTTTCAATGCACTGCCATTTTTTTAAAATGGCTACTGCTTTTCACAACTGAGGTTGGCGAAAAATTAGTTGCCAACAATTGCCAACTTTAAACAGAGTGTTAGGCAGGTAATATCCAAGAGTGCCTTTTTGGATAATCATGTTGTATGCAATCTACCATTTTTAGTTAGTTTGTTATTTCTCAGATGGTGCCACTAAAACACTCATTCTGAAATTTGAGTGTGTGATAAAATGGCAACATAAGGATATGATTAAACAACAACCAATTTTACTGCCACCATTTGAAAAACTAAATAGCTAACTAAAAGGAGTAGATCATCTACTATATGATTACTGATTTTGGGGTTAAATGTAAACTTCTAATCAAGAAAAAAATTCAAAAAATATTTAACAATCACTTTCTGCCTCTTAAAATAAAATATACAATACTGAATACTCACTTTATTGCAATTTTGCACAAATTGTAATACCAGGAATACAGAAATGCCCAACGATAGGACATTAAAAAACATACCCATGCCTAGAGTTTAAAAATTATCTCCCTTTGCAAATTATCTCCCTTTGCATAATGGTCATAATAATACCAGTGATGCCTGAAGCCCTACTCTAAGCCGAAAATGTTTAAAATTTTGAAGTAGATTAATCCAAAATAACTTAAGATGATTAATAATAGTCAATATGTTGAGAATACTCAAGCCAAAGCCACAATGTTAATTCTGATCAGCAGATATGAAAAGCTATCAAAGTTAGCACTGTAAAGATTTCAATACAGTAAGTGACAATCAGATAGTGCCAGAAATATATTAAGATAAATTTCACATCAGGAAACAAGTAACAGAAGTTTACAAAGTAAAGCAAATAAGAAAATATATATAGTCAAAAGTCGTTAATCTGGACTCGTCGGGACTTCGGCGATTCCGGATTATCGATTATTCCGGATTATAGATCATCAGTTTAAATCTCGTAAGATGGCATGCAGAAATTCTAAAATTAAAAGTATGAAACCGTAATTTATGAAATAAAGAACAATTATGATCTAAAGGGTATCAAAATTTGCAAAAAGAAAAAAGCTTAATATTTATTTGTTTACTTTATTAAACATTTCTTTCAATGTAAGTTGTTTAGGTTTTGCTTCGTTTCATGTGATAATACTTTCTCTTTAATTCTATTAAACAGACATAATTTCTTGTTCAGTTACAAAGTTCCGCTGTTCAAGTCCTATAATTGCTGTGTCGAGAATACCGACTAATTTGTCAATCGAAATTTTTTCGTTTCAATAACCTCTGTCACTTTCTTCGCTATCGGAAGCGAATTATAATGACGAGGAACTTGTTTTAAATCATATCAAAGACGGAGCACATCGAGATGAAATACTACATTTGATAAGGAATTATAAGCCAAATAAAAAAAAACATCTGCCCTGAAGATAAGGATAGTGCTGACAGATCAACTTCCAATTCATTACGCGCCCGCGCGGCGTTCCCCCGCCAAAGCAGCGTGAAATTGATAAACAGATTTCGGATTTCAAAACATACTTTCGCTTTAGATCCTTTACATATTAACAAATATATATCGGAAATTCTATTTGACATAATCGAAAGTTTAAGCTTACTTTTATAAAATTGCTCTTACAGTCTGCAAAAAATAATAAGCCGGATCCAATTCGAAAATTAAGGAGGAACAACGCAATCATCAACATTAACTGAAATAGATAGATTAATTTAGCTTATACCGTCCGTTATACATAAAACGCGCACGCGAAAACGTATTCTGCACTTGCGCACACTCATATGCGCAGTCGTAAAAGGTCTTACGCGCACGCGTAAACGCCTATGCGCATGTGTCAACGCAGTGCATGCGCAGAAAATTTTTAGTTTTGAGGTCCGGATTATAGATCATTCCAAATTATGGATGTCCGAATTAACAACTTTTGACTGTATAGCAGAAGCATTTGATCATTCAATATGGCCCTGGGCCTTTTCCCATTACCTGGGATTATTAGTTATATTTACAAATTCTGACAGTAGGATTATTGTTCTTCTGACATTTATGAAAAGCTTTTGCCAAATAATAATAATGCATCTTAATTAGACAATTTTCAGTTCTGTATGGATTCTGTTGTTGTTTAGGAAGAGTCTGATTTTCCACAGAACACAGTTCTTAGCAATTTAGAGCTGCTTGTAATTTGTTTTACAGGATTAACCTCAGACTAGACAGGTACAGCAAAGCTTGGATTGAGAATGGATTCATAAATGAAAACTTATTATCAGTAGAGAGAATGCTGTTTCAAGCAGTTAAAAGGAAGAGTTTAGCTTTACATGCTCGAAACTTCTTAATCATAGATGTAAAATGAGGGATTCCTGAGTAAGAATTTGAGAATAACCCTAAGGAAATGTTTAATTTTAATTGCGTGTAAAAACAAATGCATTTTACTTCACATGTTTAGTACCTAATAATACTTTTACCTCAAAAATAAATGCCATCACATACTTCAGCTTCATCCTTTTACATTCAACAAGTTAATTTTTTGTTAGTAATAAATTAAGCTGCTCTCTGTTTACTTGCAGCCTTGCTGAAAAACCACAGAAAAGCATTCATGATGCAACGAAGTATGTCAGCAAAATAGTTACGGAGTAACCACATCATTACCAAAACGTATGTAATTAAGATGTGCTTACTGTAAATGACAATGAAGTCACAGACGTGTTTCAAAGCACAAAAAGATGTGAAGGTTTTGAGTGACTAAGAAATCACCTGCAGTATAGATCTGAAGAAAACGAATTGCAGCAAGGAGAGTAATACTGAGAATAATAAAGAGGAAATGGAAATAAACAGCAAAAAAAGTAGCCACTGTGAAGCCTTGATTTGGGTTTACTTTGATTATGGCAAAGCCTAAGGCTTTATTATGCTGCCTAAGGCAACTTTAACCTACAAACAAGACTGTGCTGCCAACTTGGTAAACCAGTATCTAAACTTTATACAATTACAAAATAATAAATAAAAATACTAAAACAAATTAAATAAGATGGGACAACTGGCCCCTACTCTTGCCTTTTGAAGAAAATTCCCTGGCCTTACTCAAAAGCAGAGTCACCTCAACCTTTATTCTGAATAGATTCTGCATAAAACAAAGCCCAGGACTTCGAAGATGTGCATTTTTTTAGTATTTTCCACTTTTAAAGCATTTTTAAGATATTAAAACATTTTGAAGGCCTTTTAGATACTTTAGCACTTTGAAGTATATTCTAGAAATCAAACTGAAAAATAAGACAAAACTGAAATAACACGGTCACAACTAATTTTTACTAGGAATGCATGTCCTCTTACAGTCAAAAGTCGTTAATTCAGACATCCATAATTCGGAATGATCTATAATCCGGACCTCAAAACTAAAAATTTTCTGCGCATGCGCCGCGTTGACACATGCGCGTAAGTAAGACCTTTTACGACTGCGCATATGAGTGTGCGCAAGTGCAGAATACGTTTTCGCGTGCGCGTTTTAATGTATAACGGACGGTATAAGCTAAATTAATTATCTATTTCAGTTAATGTTGCATGATTGCGTTGTTCCTTAATCTTCGAATTGGATCGAATTGGATCGGCTTATTATTTTTTGCAGACTGTTAGAGCAATTTTATAAAAGTAAGCTTGAACTTTCGATTATGTCAAATAGAATTTCCGATATATATTTTAATATGTAAAGGATCTACAAGCGAAAAGTATGTTTTAAATCCGAAATCTGTTTATCAATTTCACGCTGCTCTGCGGGGGGGAACGCCGCGCGGCGCAATGAATTGGAAGTTGATCTGTCAGCACTATCCTTATCTTCAGGGCAGATGTTTTTATTTTATTTGGCTTATAATTCCTTATCAAATGTAGTATTTCATCTCGATGTACTCCGTCTTTGATATGATTTAAATCAAATTCCTCGTCATTATAATTCGCTTCCGATAGCGAAGAAAGTGACAGAGGTTATTGAAAACGAAAAAATTTCGATTGACAAATTAGTCGGTATTCTCGACACAGCAATTATAGGACTTGAACAGCGGAACTTTGTAACTGAACAAGAAATTATGTCTGTTTATAGAATTAAAGAGAAAGTATTATCACATAAAACGAAGCAACTTAAACAACTTACATTGAAAGAAATGTTTAATAAAGTAAACAAATAAATATTAAGCTTTTTTTTTTTTGTAAATTTTGATACCCTTTAGATCATAATTGTTCTTTATTTCATAAATTACGGTTTCATATTTTAATTTTAGAATTTCTGCATGCCATCTTACGAGATTTAAACTGATGATCTATAATCCGGAATAATCGATAATCCGGAATCGCCGAAGTCCCGACGAGTCCGGATTAACGACTTTTGACTGTATTTAAAATTTATTTTTTGTTGTTGTTAACAATTTATTTATTTATTTAGATTTTACCATAAGAGACACATACCCTAATCATTTTTATTCTCTATTGAGTATTTTTACAAAGCTGTCATGGTTTGAGCAAAAATTAGAATAACAAACTTAGTCAAATCTTTTCTGGAATAATTTTTTGATTTTGAATTAGTATATTTTTCTTTTGTCTACTCAAAAACATTCATATTTATTCCCAATTCAAGACTTCATATAAGTTATTAATATTCATAGCAATAATAATAAATTAAATATTTTACAACGTTAGAAAATTTATGAAAACTGGAAAATTTATTTTTATTTTTTTCATACAGTTCCAATTACTGCTCTTTATTAGAACTGTCACAACAATAAATCAGATGCATTTAAAACCTCAAAAAGTATATTCGATAAAGATGATTTGACTTAATGCTTAATAAAACTAATAATTTAAAATAAATCATTAAAATAATTACCTGATCTGTTTTATGGGAATAATGCGGTGCTTTCTTTTCTTCTGTTTCACATTTCACACCTGCACATTTTGTTACACCACTTGTTTTATTAATAACAGGTTCGTGTACAGAATCACTACCATCCTGCAACTGCGATTCTACCGAATAGTCTTCTGGATCAAAAGTACCATTAGCTACATCTTGAGCCTTCTTTATTCTTCTTGCAGCTATTTTTAGCTTTAATGGACCATTGGCAAAATTGCTTTCTTTAACAATGGAGAATTCACGCTCTTCTGCAGTTGTCGAACTTCGACTCGAGCTGCCTTCCCCATCAGAATCACTACTGCTGCAAGTGTCGCTGCTCGAACTGCTAGATTCACTACAACTTTGATTCCGTGACCTCCATTTCTTTGCCAGGTGTTTCTTAGCTGCAACAGCCTGGAGTGTACGCATCGTGGAGCCGTACTCCACACCGCGCTGAGTCAAGAGACTCTGGGCCATATTCAAACATTCCCAATCATTTTTAACTTTCTACTGAGGACCACTTCCACACTCCATCCACCGTCCCTGAAGTCCCTAAAAAATAATAATTTTAAACTATTATTAAAAGTTAAAAATTTAGATCAACTGAAACAGCATACTTTAAAATCATGTACTAACAGAAAAGCTTTTTGTCAGAATATTTACATTTACAGTGGATCACATTTGTTTTTGGACACGTTTTTCAATGCTGTGTATCCATAACTAAATATTAGCAAAATGACTTTATTTTTTTCACACATGCTAATAATCATATTTTTTAAAACCTACTTGTTTTAAAAAAGGTTTTGATTTAAAAAAATTTTATTCAAAATATTCTGAAAATTAACTCATTACATAATTTTAACTATTCGGACATTTTGAACAAGCAGTTTATATTTAATAAAAGCATGAAAATAATGTGACATTCAATATCCTTTAGCTAAAACTACATTTTTCATACACTTTATTCCTAACTAAATTATTATATTATTAACTATATATTAAAATCTATTAGCAATATTAACACTAAATATTAGTGTATCCATAACTAAATATTAGCTAAATGACTACTTTTTTCACACATACTAATGATCATATTTTATAAAACTTACTTGTTTTGAAAAATCTGTTTATTGAAATTTTATTCAAAATATTCTGAAAATTAACTTGCTAAATAACTTGAAGTATTCAGACATTTTGAACAAACAGTTTATATCTAATAAAAGCAAGAAAATAATGTGACATTCAATATTTTCAATATCCTTTAGCTAAAACTACATTTTTTATACACTTTGTCATGAATTCAACTAATTTTTATCTTTAAATATGATAGACACCAATATGAATTAATTTTAAAAGCTACCATACACAAACACATTGAAATATTACTTTTTGATGACTATTAAATTACATTAATATTTTATCTCATTCACATTATTTATGTTCGCTAGTAAATGTAAACTCAAAATGAAACTGCATGTAGGCCAGTTGGCATAACAGAATTTGTTTTTTAAGAAAATAAAAGTAATTTAAATAAATTTTAAAATTTGCTTACTAACTATTTACCAAAACATATGTTAACAAGAGTAGTAACATCACAATGGGAAAAAATTTACATCTATATTTTTATTGGAGATATAATAAAGTTTGATATTTACTACACAATTTTGTTGGTTGAAATTTTTATTTCAAATACAAAGATAGACAGCTAAAAAACGGGTCAAAATTATTCCTAGTTTTCAAGAAAATTTTCAAAGTGTAATAAAACTTGAGAATAAATGAAGAGAATTTAGACTGCTTTCTTTATTTATTAAATTTTTCTTCCAACACATAAATAAAAAATACATACGTTTCCATGTAAGTAACTTATTTATTTCTTAATATAACTTGACAATGGAATTTCGATTCTAATAAAGTAGGAGAGAAATTACTAGAAATCGTCTTATTATAGATTTTAGGTGCTCGCTGTTTTGCACATAAACATGTTTCCAAACAAAGCAATTATTCTTAGCAAAAAAAAATTGGGTAGAGTAGACTTTAAGGTACCCCTTGTATTATGGCCAAGTTGTTGTTTCATTTATGGTAGCCTGAATAGTTGAATGTTAAGGAAACCCTATTGTTACGTAATCGGGTGCATGATCTGGAAATTTTGAATCTGGGATGTTTTGTAAGCATTTTTGTGGTGTGTGTTGGTTTTAGACGGTAGAATGGCCTACTGTATAAGATTATTTGAAGTTTCTGTACGATTTGAAGCGAAAGGGGAAAACTTTAAAAATCGACTGTGTGTAAATGAAGGTTTACTTAGTAGCCATTACAAGTGTCCTGTATGCACGAAGGATATGCTTCTAGTCGAACGTAACAACCGTTTAGATGGATTTGAAGAAGAAAGTTCAGATGGTCAATATGTAAGCCTTCGATTAGAAAGAGTACTTTTAAAAAAAGTCATTTGAGTATGATTGATATTTGATTTTAAGTGGCTCTGGGTGTACAAAAAGCTTGAAAATCATGGTAAGTGAATATTGCTTTTGGTAGTGCTTAAATGTATACATTTTTCCTTTTTTATGTTATTTTTTTTTGGTTTAAAATGTATTTATTGAGATTATGTATTTTTGTTTCCGTGTTTCTAGAATTTGATGCTCCTTTGACTTTTTAAGTGAAATATATCGATGTGTACATGGACAAGTAAAGGGAGGCGCAATGCAGTTGGCAATTCGGATTTTTTTTAAGTAAATAGGTCGACGTGTACATGGATAAAGTCAAAGAGTGTGCAATGCCATTTTTGCGCCAAAAGTCGGGCGACAAAGCCAAAAAAGACAAACAATGCACAAACTGGACCATGTACACATCGACTTTTTCACTTTAAAAAAATCCTTGAATTGCTCAAAAATGGCATTGCACACTCCTTTGACTTTACCAAAAATCGCCGCTTCACAAGCCAAAATAACGAGTCAAAGAATTGCACAAAATCGGTGTCCATGTACCGCCCAAAATCCCCAAGTGTCGCCAAGGGGTACCCTAAACTATACTTTTAACAAAAAATTTATACCTGAGCTGACAAGTACCAATAAAATTTAATAAAATTTATATCTTTAAAATCTCTGAATTACATTTATATCACATTGTTAATTAATTAGTTCTATTTGTAGATTTTGTGATGTGTTATTTATATTTGTTTTTAAAGGAAATGAAAATAATAACACAGACTTCAAATAACTGAAATCTTGAAATATTTGCTACACCACATTTGGTTTGGTTTATTTAATTATGGCAAAGCACACTAGGGCTATCTGTCTAAGGGAAGGGATGCCTTCATGGAGGACTTTCAAAGGGAAACTGGCTTGTATACACGTTACACATGGGAAAAACCACTAAACGCCCATGCAGCCAGCCCGTTCGTGGGATTCGAACCTTGGGCTGAACTACCAGCATTCACATACTTTACCACTCGGCCGCTGGTGGACCTTATACCATATTTGGAACAAATACATATTTGAAATGTATTTGCAGGCTACATAAAACTGCTTCACGGGCAACCAGTCAGAGACCACTGCACTGATCTGCTGAAAAATGCAAATTACATACATAAATCTCATTAACACTTTTCTGATTTTGTAAAGAGAGTTGAAATGCAAACGAACATATTTTTTAATCATGTTTAAAAACCTTTGGTCTTGGTGATTATTATAATGAAAATTAAAAAGGTAAAAGAAAATCAAAATATTCAGGTTCCTTGCTAATTATTTTGGATATGGTGTTGTGATGTAGTGGCCGAAACCGCTACGCAAACCCTGGGTAGTGACATCAGGATGAAAACAAAACACAGCATAAAAATTTTATTGAACGCAAAAAAAAATGGCTACATACAATTCTACAAGAGAGAAACAAACTTTTTTCAAAAAATCAAATTCTATCATCAATCATGCGAGAGCCATATGTGGCTCTCAGCCTGCGTTTTAACATGTCAGCATTTATATTATTTAATAACAACTATTTTACAAACTTAATATATTAAAAACAATTAATAATTATATGTAGTCCGTGATTTCATCATGTATATTGCACTCTGAATTCCAATTTGAAATCATTCGTCGGATTTATCGCCTTTCCACTCCCTCATAAGAAGTTTCTTGACTAGGAAGAAAAATCTAAATCTTTCAACTGCTTTCGAAACACAAGTGGTAACCATTTAAGGATAGAGAAGCCATTTAATACCCTGCACTTATTTCTAGATATCATAACGATAAATACAACAAAATAATTTAACTACTCTAATTCGGCCTTTTACAAAGCATATTCTCAATTTTCACAATGCTAATACTTAGAAAACATTTAATCTAACATTTTGAAATGAAACACATTATGAACAAATTTAAATCTACAAAGTATAATTCCAAACGCTACAAAAACTTTCAAACAACGTTTCAAAAAAAAGGATGGCTCCTCATAGACTCATATGCTAAAGTTCCAGCTGTCAGTAGATCTGATTTCGATACTCAATCACGAGTAGGACACCGCAACATTAACACAATTTGGATGAGGTCCAATTTCTTTCTGACTTTAGATTGTCAGTTCATCCAAAGAAAACTCGCCAATGCTGTAATTCTATTATACATGCAACCATATAGCATAGCTTGATCAGCATTATAATGAAAATCATTTTTACAAGAAGGTTATTGGAACAATTTCTCAGAAGAAAACGCCTTAATAAAGGGTTTTTGAATATCGAATTATGATCGTGTGTTCCTTCAGCATCGAATAATAACTTTTGTTTGGTGTTGAACATATATGAGTTTCTTGCTTGTGTGCTGAGAATTCTGCTGGTGAAACAGCCGCAGGATAGCCCTTTCCTCTAACTGATGTATGAATTTTAATGTCCCCCGTATATGGTTAATTCGTCGCCGAATGCTCATTTGATGGCCCTTCACTTTCTATCTCTTCTTTTCTTACGATCTGGAATCTAAGTCTTTTGCATTCGTCTCTCTCTAAAATCCTGCGTGCATGCGCCTATAGAGTCTCCACAGTATTCAAGAGAACCGGTCGTTCCTAATTTCCCAATAACTGTGCAGTTTTTCCCTAACAAATAGTCTCTTCATCTAAATCTACCAGAGTACCGCTGCTTGTGGTGACCACACAAAATCACCTTCAATGGTGACTTTCGCCAAAGGTAAAACATTTAATTCTGTCCAAAGGCTGTTTCACCATACAGTTTCCCCTAATAAGTCATAATATAATCCAAGTACTATTACACGATCTATACCAGCTCCAGTATCTCTCAGATATTCTCTCTTCCCATTAATTACTGCTTTCTTGAATAAGGCTCAAAAAATTTTACTAAACTCTCCGTTCCTAATTAGACCTTATTCTTTCCAGCGATGGAAGTTGGTCGGAGATGTCTGTCCTTTCCACATTGGTAAAAACTTATTTTCGCTGTTTCTTGAAACCTGCTTCATTGAAAACTTGCTTTTTTAGGAGCCTCCCTTTCTATGCTCCTTATTTAATGTTTTGATGACCACTACTTTTTGATGAAAACTACAGTTAGAATTTATATACTGCTCTCTATCTTCTCAAATGGTTTCTTTAACCCCGTTTGTTCTAACTTCCTCGTATCTCTTCACAAAGCTCATACTTGTTGCATTTCTCTGCTAAAAGGAACCTAAGTCGTGCTCTATTATTTAGAGAGCTCGCTTAATTGCTCGTGAGATAAGTTCCTTAAACTTTCAAAATCTTGAAGTCTACGAATCCAACCAATTCTCTAAATCACTTCAATTCATACACTAAATCCACCCATAACATTCCGAGACATCCGAAACATCTTGAGAAATTTTCGCAAATTTACAAAAATGTTATTAACCAATTTAAATGTGCATCAGTAGAATTCTCCATCTGCAACATAAACACTTTAACAACAAATGAGAAATACACAAATATTTTCTTTTCAGTATAATCCTACCAGGTAATAAAATTCCTAATTTTGTGCTCATATAACATGAAATAGTTCATATTAAAAAGAAAAAAATAAATTAATTTTTGAGACCTCTTTAATTCCAATTGATAAGCAAAAAATTTAAAACACCTTATACAAATATTTCAAACTTTTGTTCTAGCAAACACAAATTAAATCAAAATAATTAACTGTCTGGGTTATATGACTATTTTCATGATATTTTCAGACTTTTTGCTCTGTCCTTATTTTTTACATTATGTTTTCTTTAAACATCTAGAAATTCCTTCATGACAATTAAAATACATTCTTAAAATGAAAAGTTGAGATCTAATAAATATTTATATAGCTGAAAACTTAAAATGTGATACAGGTACAGGAATATACATTTCCATCAAAATCGCAATAACAACCTTGTATTTAGTGTACATATATATTTAATATATGTATGCTAAATACAAGGTTGCTATTGCAATTTTGATTGTCACATTGACGTGTTTCTCTTCTATACATTTCCATATTTTAGGTGGATATTTCCTAAATACATTTTTATTGCATTAAAATTTTAGAAAAAGGGCAGCTTATATTATTAAATGGGATTTTTTTACAAAATACTTTATTAAAGGCTATTTTTTCAATCAAAAATTAAAACAAATAATGTAATAACTCTTAACATTCAAATACAACTACCCTGCATTTAAAAAGTAATTAAGTTCTATTTGATATAAAATTGTACTACAAACTAGCATGCTGTTAATTTTAATAATAGAAAATAAGGCTGAATAAAAAATTTTATCGCTTACAATTACAATTACTAATTACAAAAAGAAACTTTTACTGATTCATGTGATCAGTAGACAATCTGGTTCAATAATGAATTCTTAAAAAAAAAAAAAAAAAAAAAAAAGAGAGAGGGAGAAAAGAAAAAAAAAAAATACTGAGCTATATGAATATATATGTATACATATATAAATTAAACTGATACACATATCTGTTGTACTTAATGTTTTAATACTGAAATTGTACTATTGCTTTAATGTTGAAATTCTGTCACCTATCATTATAGATGAGCTAAAATGCATATTTAAAGTTTGTACAATTAGATAAGGGGTAAAAAAACGAATTATTCCGTACACAGTAATCGTAATAAAACTTTTAAATAATGTTGCTTACATTTTTTCGGTTAAAAAAAAAATTACATTGTATTGCTAAAATACTACTTATTCTCCACAATTTATATTTGGAGTTATTTTTCCGTTTGATCTAATACAACTGCTGTGGTTCAAATAATGAAAACTTACTTCAACGGGCTCAAATGGCCAATAATAAGTTAAATGTCACCCACATAACGAAACTTTTTTTTTCTGAATACCTCACTATCACGTGAACTATGCAGATGGAAGAAATAACTTGAAACAAAATATTGTTAATCGCATGCATTTTATTTATTATTTTTTCTTCATCAGTGTTTTGAAATATGATCATTTGTTGTTCCTGTGGTTAAAGAAAATATGAAAATTCACAATTTATCTCTAGCCAAATAAACAAACATGTGAATGTGTAAATATATTCGTTATTAACGGAAAATAAAACCAGAAAAAATATGCACTTTTTTTCGAAATGTATTTAAAATTGGTTATTCACAGTTTATAAGCCATTTAATTATTGTAATCCACTGGCTTAAATTTCAATTAAACGTTAACACAGAAAGGTTTACATCTTGGATACACACACGCCGTTGAGAGTGCACTGACCATTAGTTGACATGTGTGGAAAACTCCGTAAATATCCATAGCGAAACAATGGCACTTACACATTGTATATCCTTGATATTAACTTTAAACGTACACAATTTTTTTCTGTTAATAACTCCTGTATTTATGCAGCGTACGGCACAGTTTCATAATAAAAACAATTCCACTACCAATCAACATGGCGGGAAACAGTTGATTTCCAATAAATACGAATTCATAATTTTATATAATCATTTTAAGCCTTCCGTAAGGATCAATAAAAATAACACATATTTTTTTAAGCTTAATAAAATGCATTTTGCTTCAGCAGACTAAAGATTGTGTTTTTCTACAATTTGCTGCGGATTTATCATCTTCATATAAAATGGCGAAAAATGAAATTGCCACGGAATATCAAAGTTGAAGTTATTATTTATGATACCAACCGCCAAAGGACATTCTGTTCCTGTCTTGGAAAGAGGCAGAGATACTGAATTATTTTCTCGTTCATGAAATAGAGATTTACTGATGTATCAAAAGCCTGGATCATTAAGAAAAATTTATCAATCATTATTTAATGAGACTCATAATTTGTGTTCTTCTCAAAAGCATGCTTCAAAAATCGCAAAATATGTGGAGGTTCCACTGCGGACGAAGGTTACTAAATATGGTAATGAATAATATCAAATATGAACGTGTGCCAAACACAGACCTGCTTAGATTTCGGTGATGTATATGATAATTATTACTGAAGAATTAGAACAAGATATAGTTTCCTGAAAAGGGTTGATGTGAGCACACTGTGGTAATAAAATGAGAAATTACATCTCCAACGTTTCGGCTAACAATATTTAAAAAAAAAAAAGCATATCTAGAGAATAAAATATTTTATTCCGTACAGTGTATTGCCACTTCTCGCATTGAAATCGTTGGGTTTGTTAATCAAAAATCCTTAAATTTAAAAATATATATATGAAATAGATAATAAAACTGTAGGAGTTCCATGGTGAGGCAAGACACAAGTATAAAATATATAATCTTTATTACACATCAATAACATCCGATGAGAAGGAAAATTCCCACTCCATAACACCGCTCTCTCCTTACCATCTGCCGCTCATCCGAGGCGGGCATGCGCAGAACTCACAAAATTTGTACGTGTTCCATGGCAACACCACAGAGTACCCCCAGTGAGGGAGACCAAACGATACACAAAAAAAAAAGATACAGCATTTATATATACCTGATAATGTTGAAGGTAAAAGGTACAATATAAAAAACATAATAAATTGAACTACATGAAATACTGATAAATGACACTATATAAATATTTATAGGTGGTCGATGTTGAGGGAATTGACATGTCGTCCAGATTTGACAGTTTAGGACATGTGACATGGTAGGTTTCAGTTGTTGTCTTATTGGAAGGTTTATTGTTAGGGATAAGGTTTTATCATAATGAAAAATGCAGGTTGAGTCGATCAATTTAAACAATTTGTTTTTACCGTGACGGAGATGATAAAGGTTTTATCATATCACTCAATGACTGGATGGGGACCTGAGTATGGTTGTGAAGGGAGGCTTGACTGAGTCAATTCTCAAATAAACGTGAGAGCACGATTTTAAAGATGGATGAATGTGGATAGGCTCTGAACAGTATTTTGATATTGCGATGGGAATCAGAGATTGCATGATAGATCGTAAACGATTTTACATAGGTTGGTTGGGGATGGCGGAGAAAG